TCGAATATTTAGAAGGGTGTTGTCAAGAAAAAGAATAATAGAAGGTGCGTTTTGAAGCGGAACCCTTGCGTTATATATGATTGAGGAGTGACATTTGGGCAGGAGGTGCAGAATGCGTTTTCGTTATCGGCGCACTTTCCTAGACACGTCAAAAGATCGTGAGTCCTGCGTTGGTGTGGCATGAATAGGTAAAATATAAGCAATTTCCTTTCCTAGATCGCCGGAGAAGAGTATCTACCTAATTTGGAGATCTGTTAGGTGATTTAGATGATACCGTATCCTACCTAGAGATGTGTAAAGGAAGAAGAGGTTCTTGTCTTGTTTTGACGGCAAGGTGTCAGTAACGTGGTGACCCAACTAGTCGCGTCGTAAATAGAAGGCGGTGCTTGCCATTAGAGATTCAAATTCCTTTGGAATACTGTAAGAGGATAATATCTTAGGTACGTTTATCGTAGTGTTGAGGAAGAAAGCACCCCTTTGCAATAGCCTCTTGCAAAAGCACCTATCCTCAAAACGGGAGAGACCGTGCCTCCTACGAAACAATTTTCTTGCCTTGTGGTTACATGTTTGTATTGTGATCATCAACTAGGTAGACTCCCCTAGAGGCTACGGATCGCGAAAATTGGTATGAACAACTGCCATCTCTTCGACGGCACTGGTTATAGAGTAGCTATGATATAATGATGCTATGCTTTCTAATTTGTCCTATATACTACGATAAAGGAGAAATGACGACTATGTAAGTTGGAACCTGGAGTTCATCAACAGAGTATGCGGCAGTACGTGATGCACATTAGGCTGGAGGAAGGAAGGAGGCAAAGAGGGCTCCCTGAATAGCGGCGTACATGATCATAAATCTCACGACGTTTGTCCCAAATGTTGAAGTTTTTTTCTCAGTGATAAGCCCTGCCAGCCACCAGTACCAGAGTGGATATCCCGATGAGATCCTCGTAATAATTTGGACATGATAGTTTGTGATGGATAAAGCAGCTAAGATGAGCTGGGAGAAGGCCATGGAACGGACTAGTACTGTTAGATGAGAGTGGTCACCGGGAATGGATTCCTTAGATGCGATACTCAGAGGCCGTCTAATGAGTTCTTGACTTGAGGTTATGAGAATGTAAATCATTGGCGCAGCGAGTAAGAAAAGGGGTATATTTGATGGAGTCCAGTAGCGGAGAAAGCCAACGTTCCTATCCTCGGCGTTAGCGTCGTCAACATAGGGAGCAACCTTCTACTAACCAATAGTGCGCTTGAACGAATGAATAAATGCTAGGAAACATGCTCGTGCACCAAGATCTTAACTTGGTACCGGAAGGAACGGAGCAGAAGATTTGAAATGCAATAAGTTGCGGAATCACAAAGCTAACTGCTATCGCCATACCTCCTAAGAGTAGGGCAAATCGTCGTCGGATACTAGATAAAGTGGGTGGCATAGTGAGTTCATGGGCCAGTGCAATTGCGAATGGGATCCCATTGAATAGGCCGTTGCTACGAAATGTGGTGGCGAAGCCAAACCACATACCTGAAGCGACCAAGCTTACATCGTGGGCAAAAGTCCGTTTCGGCCCAAGTAAACCCTTCGCAAAGAAGAGATATCCGGTAAAAGATAGAAAAGCAAAGGTACTCTCGTTATATGGAGCTGACAAAAAAAGCCCAGCTGGAGACAGGATATGCAGTAGCGCCGCGATAAATGACGACCGCTGATTTCCTAGGACAACGAGTCCGAGCTGATACAAGGCAAGCACGGAGAGCAGGTGGGATGTGTGAGCTACCAATATCCCGATAAGTGGCTCGAGGGATTGATAGGTCTGAATTCCTAAGCTAGAAAGTCCTATTGACGCGAGTCAGAATATAGAACGGGTGCAGCAGACAGCATCACATAAGAAATAGGATTAAGGACCTTGACTAAGATAAAAGATGACAGTTGGAAACCCAGTGCCAAATGCCCATTCCTGCTCAAACAGATAACCTCGACGAGAGGCCTGTATGAAGTAAATAGAGTCCCATCTTGTTAGCTTTGTAGCTAAGTCAAATGGAAGTTCGTGGGATGAAGTTATCTCAGGGGATAGTAGAGTACTCGAGGTGTCGTAAGCTGGACCGACGCTACTCCCGATAACAATAAATAGGAGTAGTGATTTCCAGGCGATAAACGAGCCAACTAACGATCTAATAGGATTTATAGAATCGAGAGAGGGCATGATTGAAAAGTAAAGATGGCCAAGGGTTGTTGTTTCTATGTACCTCCTTAGGTACCTTTGGGTAGGTATCTCGATGACCGGCGTCGAATAAGAGAATGGGGCAGGGGCTAAAAATGGAAGGTTGGAATTCCCGAGCCACAACGACTTAAGCCCAGGTGTGGCTAGTACGTATTGTCCATGAGAACCTTACTAATTAATTGTGCACGTGCCTTATCTTGGATAATCGTGCGATTATCCAAGTAATATTTCTTATCTTATACGAATACGAACACTCTAAAAGACATGGAAATTATGAAGGAATCATCTGCTGACGATGAGACGACACAAATAGTCATTATTACCTTGGCTTACATAGTAGACACAAGCCTTTATCCTAAACGAGAAATGGATACCGCCCAATGTGATTAGCCTAGCTCACCTCTCTTGATCGCCCACCCATTTAAGGTTGTTGTCTGGCCTTCGTGGCTTTGGTAGTGGCTGTTCCATGCATGTATTGATAGAATCGGAAACATGCACGAGGCATAACGGCTTGAAGCGCGTGCATCTGATGTTTCTATGTACATCTTCCTAACTTGGTACCTTGGTTACTACCTATCGCAAAAGCGAATGCGAATGTAGTTCCAAGATGGGATAAACCTGGGGCGCAGTCACGTTATGTATCATAAGTCATGATAGTTGGACGATCCTTGATATCAATATCCATCGTACAAAGGCAGAATGCTATTCAGAAATCACGGCATGTCGTCATTGTCTTAGGTTACCTAGAACACTGTAAGAGTACTCGGGAGGGTTTTGTGTTTCGCGGGTTTGTAATACTTGAAGTTCGGCCTCGGCAAGTTAGAATGGAAGTAGCCTCTTTTTCTTAGTTCGCGGGAAGCGTTGAAAATCCTAGTTGACAACTACCTAGGTAGCACATGAGTAATAACTATCCGAAAGAGTTGTTTAACCTAGGAATATATATGGTATCTAGGTGCCTAACCTAGGTATGTAATCGAACCTCGGTGCGGACAGAGAACATGAAAATAAATGATAGCCGAATTCGTACATCGTTGCCGACTCTCGAGAGAAACCATTACGGAGACGAACTGCTATGTAATTTGAGCTACTCAAGGCACATGGTTCCATGATCATCAGACCTTCTATCCTGTTATACTCTCACCGACATATGAATAGCATTCCTTCATGAAGCCCTGATTGGATACACGTGCGGAAGGGCTACAGGCTAACTAACGAGGTGGATGGGACAACATATCTTGCATCTTGCATCTTTTGGTCTCGACTTCTTTTGCTTTATTGTCTTGGCAGGTTTAAGGAGGATATGTATTATCGAAGTTGCCGCTCCGTTGTTGGAGTGAAGAACCTAACCTACGTCTGTACATACCTAAGGTATCTGATGCAATTATTCTGATGCAGTTATCTCGAGATTCTTTATTCTTTAGGCAGACGAATAAATGTTGTCGATCTTTAACTTTTTAAGGTGACGTCGTCGAAAATTTGCTACCTTTTATGGATCATGGATACGGTAAGTTCGTCATGAATTGAAATCGTAAATGCATCGAATAATGAAGACATCGTCAACAGAGCAATTGCCCAGGTTGGCGATTACTTACAGAAAGACATATGTACAGGAACGGAACGGAACATTAGATGGTACACATGCAGATATCCATGTGGGAATGTAATCGGTGTGATCGGCCCCTAGCAGACCGGCTATGACAGTGCCGAGCACATGCATCCGACCAATAGGAATCTATGGGTAGACTGGAAACCGCACCAACTAAAGGGAGAACAATATAGAAGCCTAGAACGCCGAATTGGAACCATGTACCTACGCGGTGGGTTGTCTGCCCTATGGGGCGGCCTATCGAGCCTCCAATACAGCTGCCTAGACTACTACCACTACTACCACTACTACACTATGTATGCATAGGCCGTTACCTAGATACACCTGTAGACCTGGTAGCATTGAAACCTTAAGAATTAAGGAGGTGTATACATAGGTACACATACAACTCTGCTCTCTGCTTAGGTACCTATGTACTCTACTGTAATAGGAGCTACATACATATCTGCATAACTGCCGACCAACCAGGTTCCGATGACACTATCTGATCTTTCCGCCCCTGTCGATTTCTGTATAGCAATTTTTCGTAATCGCATCATTGTGGTACAAGCAGACATGGAATAGTAAAAAAGTGCATTTTTCCATTCCAACCGCACATTATGGTTACTTGCCGCAATAGCAACAATAATAAACTGCAACATCCAGTGCTACCCAATGCGCCCTCTTTATTTCCCACAGCCCTTTATACCTTGCGATCTTATCTTTTAACCTAGACGTGTCATGTATCGTGTATTTCTTTCTTTAATTTAAGCCTGGCAGCTTATATATGCAATCCTGACGATCCTTTTTTTTTCTTTCTTTGCTGACGAAATTGTAAATTTATTTATGCCCGCTCTCGGGTTTAAAGAAAGAAAGAAAAGAAAATAAACGTCGAAGCTAACGAGTCGTTACACGTATGTATTGATGTCATGTATGTGTGTGCATACTGACCTACATACCGTAACTTGCATTTTATAGCTTAGATAGCTTGAATAGCTACCTAGGTCCTAAGCAACTAAAATCCAGCCTCGGCTCGGCTCAAATCTAACAAGAACTGACTGATTCGATTATTTTCTGGTGCGCCTTTTTTTTCTTCCTTCTTGGACGACAGCGGGTCTTAGCGAAAAAGCTCGGCTTGTATCCGAACGCGAGGAGCTGAAGCTGAAGCAGAAGCAGTGGGACTTTACATACATACCAAGCCGACAGGGCACGCACATGGTTTAACGACGATCAAGATCCACCGCCACTCCCCGTACATATATGTCCAGACACATATATGCTTAATATATGTATGTTGTGGGTGTATATTTGGGAATATATACACATATCCTTGGCTTGTCTTTACCCCTCGAAACCCCCCATACCTGTTCTACCTCCTCTCCCCCTAAATCCTTGGCCGATACGCGCGTTTCTGGACGAACCGAACAGCGTTCAGCCTGTCAGGCCACGACTCAGCTCTCCACTTGATCTATGTACCTTACCTCTCCCCCAATACCCTTTTACCGCGTTAACAGGTACCTACCTAAGTGCCTATTAATGTACCTAACGCTTTAAGGGCATTGACTGCTTCAACGTTGTATGCGATCATCTCCTACTTCACGGCTCCGGATCCCTCTCAAAACTCAGCCTCCGCAAATATACCACTATTATTCCATATCCCTCTAGCCTCTTTTTCCCTGTCTTATTCCTGAAAAGTCAGCCTAGAATCTGTGGGGAATATAGGATCGTATACCATAAGACACAGTATGATCGGTCTTGTGGTAGCGTAGGACTTGCTTATTTGTTCATCGAGACTACCCGGCAACTACCTGGATATTCAACTTGAGCCTGTCGTAAAAGGCTCCCCCCCACACTCAAAGCCGTGGAAAGTGGAAGCTTGGATGGAATTTCTTTCATAATGTTCCTGCATTCGGGAGCTAGCCTGCATGGCCATGAGTATTCAAATCGGCCGAATCCTCCGCCTGGTCATCGACGCAATCCTCTCCTGCGATCTGCCTTTGCAGCACCTATAAAACGATCTTCTTCGTATCACCCTAGCACTTCACCTTCACCTAATGAACCTGCTTCGCCTGATCTACGGCGACCTCGTCCTCTTTCGGAATATATACCTAGAACACCCGAAGCTACTGTGAAATTCCAAGAGCCCCGATGCGATTCGACGACGGCCAAACCAGAAGCAATGAGCGAGGATGAAGGCTCAATTGCATCCGATAGTGACGCGAGCCGCGTATCGTCTTCGGCTCGTCGCAACCGGAGGAGAGCCATGCGGAAAAGCACTACCTTTCTCCTTGCGCACCCACCTCCAAAGCTGGGCAGCAAGCAGCGTCTAATACATATACGACCCAAGTTATTGCTTCAGATGCAACAGTTGGCAGTTAATAGGCGCCCAAGACCAGCTATTGACGTATTTCCATCCTTTGCCGTAGCTGGCCCTTTGATTGTACCCTTGCTAAAGCGGTTTCCTCTCATCGCCCGCATCAAGCGAGAGTTGGGTATCCGGGATATTATGTTGGTCAAGAGTGAAGACTATGATGCGCAAGCTTCTGGGTTAGACAGTGACGGTGACGACGACGACCTGAAGTCCCGCGAGCTGTTAGCGATATTAAGTCCAGTCTTGACAGAAGACAAAGCCGAAATCGTGCTAGCCGACGGGACAGTCTGGACCGCAACGCCACGGTTCAGCGGTGTCAATTCCTGTTCCTATGATTTCGTCAGTATTGATTCGAATGGAACCACCACGACAGCCAGATGGGTTCGCAAGCAGATGGCAACTAAATCCTTGCCAGTTATGCCGACTTCGCCAGGTTTCACGCCTACGATACCTGTGCCTGACTGCAAATTCACCTTTAGCATAATCGATCCTAACTGCCGACGCCATCCTATCATGGCCACCTTAACAAATTCTTCGCTCGATATATTAGACTCCTATACAACTGTCTCGCAGTCCGCTAGCCGTTATCCTCCGACTTCTCCCGTGTTATCTACACCTAGTTCTTCTACCAACGGAGAGAGCACTCCAAAGAGAACAACTCGGCAAGTCGAAGATTGGCAGAAAACTTTTATTACCATATCAGCTATATGGGTAATACTTCGTCACGGGTGGTCCCCTAATTGGAAGCCGGCAGATTTTGGTACCCTATCCCCGACTTCTCCCACCACGCCGGTAGGCGCAAGCGCATCGGCTCGGAACCGGTCTGTGAGTGTAAATTTGGAGATGGCCTCAAAGCCTAGTGCTCCCAACGCTGGCAGCCAACGCAAACTCCCAGGTGGCCTGCAGATGGACGATCAGCTTACACCGAACGTGTTACCTAGGAGAGCGACATCCACTGGGACTGGCTTCATACAGAAGTCGAACGCCGCGGAGATAGAAACCCGCGACCGAGCCAGAAGTAGTCCTAGGCAAGAATCAAAGAATAAGCGAGGGTACAAAGGCGATTGGGAATTAAGCCTCCCGGATCGGACCCAAGCGAATTCGTTAGCTGCCGTATTGGATTCCCCATCTACGCTCACCCCAATTGACCTTGCTTCACAAAGTAATTCCACACCATCAGCATCATCTTCCTTGTCTACGAGGCACCGGGTTATTTCGGCATCTTATTCGGCCAGCCCGGTATCCCTCAAACCCATTGAAATCGAATTTAGCGAAAACCCTAGCCTTCGGTGCAAATCCTCCGTTCGGAATATAGTACAAGAAACCAACAGAGAAGACCAAAGCCGGAAAGCAAAGCACCAGAAATGGAAGAACATGTCACACTGGTTTCGAAAGCTGCATGGGCGGTAGGGCTGCCAGCCATGTTATTAGCAAGCGTCGAAAACAGGAGACGCAACCACATCAATTTGTGAACGAGGAGGGAAACTTGTATCATATCATACACTCGCATAAACCGGAGTTAGGGAGAAAGGGGACATTTGCGGTACGGATTAAATAGGAAACCCAAATCATTGGTTACGGTATTTTTCGGAAAGGATTGGATCTGACCGAGAACTAGACTTTTGGGAAGCTCTAGGGACTGGATCAAGAGACTTACCCGCACGGCGTTCAAATAGAGGGATGGTTTTGGCCCATTATGATCACGCATATCCAAAATAAAAGAGAAGGAAGCTGCTTGAATTATGCAGCATCCAACGGAGTGGTCAATCCCGGTAGCGACAAATAGTTACAAAGAAACCATCTATTAGTTGACTGAGACAAATTCTATTGCTTGATCGATGTGGCTCTTGCGCGTTACATACCTCCTAAGTGCGGTACTACCATGTGTATGACATACGTTTTAAGCATCGTAAGACCCCATATGGTAGGTCGATATAGATGAGGTAGTAGTATGTAAGTAACTAGGAGTCTACTCATGTCCTCTCTTAGCCTCAATGGTGTATGTTCAGCTACACATAAACCCCGTTATATTCTCAAGGACGTCTAAACACTTAGCTAAGATATACCCGAAATCTAAAGTATGAACTCGATATTTTATTTATCCTCATGAGGTCAGACGTATTTAACTAACTTTACTAGTAATAGGGGATACTAAGGATCAGGGGGGCGTATGATGTAGCACGTCTCCACCGACAATTAACATGCCATGTTTAGACTTGTCTATATAACCTTAGGGGTTACAACCACGACCCATTTTCAGTAACTTAACACTCTTCAATCGAGACTATTCCCAGAGGCAACGGCAAGCCAAGCACTTCCGCACTCCTTGACGGCACACGAGCGGCGTCCGCTACCCTCGGGGTTAGGCCTATAATATATATGAGGGATCTAGTTCTGACTTTTATTAACTGACACATTCAGTATACTGTTGGTTGCTCCTCTCAAAAGCATACACCTGATTATTTAGCTGAAACTTAGCAGTATCATATCATTTCTTACCTCAAATAACTATCGTCTTCGATCGAAACTCCTGACCCAGGTGCCTTTTTAGACTTGTTACTTAGAAAATTACTCGTTTATTATAAAAGAAAATAAGGCACGGAGCTCTTCGAACTTAGTTGAACTCTATATACTTAGAGAGCACCGTACCTACACGTTAAGGAATTGAATATGCCCTAATAATATTTGGTTTTGATATATTGGGGTCCTTCTGTCGCATCCAGAAAGATAGGTAGGTAGTTATGTATTATCTAACATATTAATCTACGAATCTGAGTTATGATCGCGACCCCGTGCGAAGACCATTCAGTGCCATGAACCCCCGGAGTCAAGCCGGCGAGCAACGATGAAATGAGAAGAGGATGTACGGCCCGAGGAGCAGCTGCGAAATTAACCGATGCCGGTCTCGCCTACATAGATGTCGGAGTTGAGCCGCGGGCGGAGATTCCTTTTTCAGGACCCTATCCACCCCACGACGGAACCTCGTAATCATCAACCCCCCAATGCGAGTTGTGGAGTATCCGATGTTCTACCGACTTGGTTCTGGGGTCCCCGAGACCTAGTTTCTGCCCCATGTCCAAGAAAGAAAGTAGCGGACCTACCGCGCGCCGTCTGTTTGCTTATGGGTCCCAGTCCGCTGGAGACCGGGTCGTTGACCGAAGCTTCCCCGTTAGCACGTACATAAGTAAGAGACAAGGGCGGCGTGGTATTGTTCACTTTCTAGGTCGAGATTTTATACTTTTGTCCCGTCTGTTTTGAGAGGTCAAAAGATCGCGGTACCTCGGCTTAACATCCAAAGACAAAGGAAAGGAGCAAGCCATCTTGTCGTCATGGCGACACATGTGCAGAATGGAAGCTCTTCGACCTCAGTCCTCGAGGTAGAGCTCGAATCAGTCTATTTGTCAACCCCGTTGCCGAAGCAGGATGGTATCGACGTTCCAGCCCGTGGGCAGAGCCGTCAGACGAGTAGCAATGACGGCAATATTACTCCAAGGCAGGATACGAGTTCCCTACCACCTCCGAGCACGACTACAGACGTTGTGCAAAGATGGAATTACCCTCGAAAGAACATCCCACGGGTTGCTTCGTGTTTTTGGTCGTTCGTTGTCATGGGCGCTAATGACGCCGCTTACGGTGTGAGTTATCGTACTAGAATCCATACTAGCTACCTAGATATAAACAAGTTTGCTGACAAGAACCGACTGGATAGCCTCTCATTCCATATGTAAGGCAGCTCTTTGGATTATACGGTGCCGCGATCTAAATAAAACCCATGGCTGACACGGAGTGTAGATTCAAGCACACTATGATCTTACGTATCTGATTGTGTCGCTTATTTTTCTGTCACCTTTCGTAGGATATACAGCAGCAGCCTTCCTAAACAATATCATCCACCTTAAGGCAGGCCAAAGAGGGGTTGCCTTCATCTCCTCGGGGTGCCATCTGCTGGCCTACATAGTCATTGCTGTCCATCCACCTTACCCAGTCTTGGTGATTACGTTTATTATTGCGGGCTTCGGAAACGGCATTGCGGACGCCGCTTGGAATGCGTGGATCGGTAACATGGCTCGCGCGAACGAGATGCTTGGCATTCTGCACGGCCTCTACGGGGTCGGTGCTGTTCTTAGCCCGCTAATTGCCACGACTATGATTACCAAGGGTAACTTGCCCTGGTACGCCTTCTACTACCTTATGGTGAGTTAATCGATGCCAAAGGGAAAGACATAGAGCTGACTAGATTAGATCGGAATAGCTGGGCTTGAGGTAGTTGCTTCGGTCAGCTGCTTCTGGAAGGCAACAGGACGCGAGTATAGGGAATCTCTAACGAAGCACTCGGAATCGTCTCAGAGTAGTCTTAAGGAGGCCTTGTTCAAGCAACCTGCAGCGCGTGTCACTTGGCTTTGCTCCTTGTTCCTGCTTGGGTATGTCGGTCTTGAGGTCTCTCTGGGAGGCTGGATCGTCGAGTTCATGATTCAAGTAAGAAATGGCGAGCCCTTCGCTAGCGGTATGACAGCGACCGGGTTCTGGCTCGGCTTGACGATCGGGCGTGTAGTCTTAGGGTTCGTGACACCGAGATTAGGAGAGAAGCGTGCGATCGTGATATACCTTCCTATAACGATGGGCCTCGAGCTTCTTTTCTGGCTTGTGCCCCAGTTCTACGTTTCCGCCGTCGCTGTAGGATTCCAAGGCTTTTTCATCGGGCCCCTGTTCCCTGCTGCCATCATCGCCGTGTCCAAGCTACTTCCTCGACACCTGCACGTCGGTGCTATCGGATTTGCCGCGGCGTTCGGTGGTAGTGGCGCAGCTATTCTACCGTTTGCAGTTGGAGCGATTGCACAGGCAAAGGGTGTAGAGGTGCTGCAGCCTATTATCCTCGCCTTTCTCGGTGCCATCTTCCTTCTATGGCTCGGGTTACCGGCGATGGATAAGAGGAAAGAGTAAATATATAATAGTTAAGTACTTTAGTGCCTAGGTACCTATGTAGGCAAAAATGATCAGATACTATAGGCTTGAATAGGCTACCAATACATGAGTGTGTTTAGTTCCTGGATTAGTTGAAATCTATTTAGACATGTCTCTTTCTCCAATCCAGAACTCTTTCAATAGGAACTGTGTACATACATAGATATGAGGCAAGCAAGATCTGATGACGTTTCTATCAGCTCTAGGTAACTTGAATAATCAGTTACATCACATTAATTCTAGTCTCTTCTCCTCTCTTTTTTCCATCCTATAGGCAATTATATATGTACGTATGCCGCCACGCCGACGCACCCCCGAATCAATGTCTTCTGAGATCCGCTGGTATCACGTCATGGCCATGCGTCGGGCCATTTGCTTGCTTCTGACCTAGGACAACAACTTGCCTTGTGTAAGCCGATATTAGGCTGCAGAGCTACAATATCGTGGCTGTGGAACAGAAGCCAGAAGTATCGGCAAGGGGGATAGGATCCCTACGAATATCAGCCTATGAGCTGAAAGAAAGGAGATATCATGTGACTGTGTCGACCTGCTGTCAGCAAGAGCTTATACGAAAAAAGCAATGTAAAAGCAATGTACTTATCCTCTGTGCCGCAAGTTGTGTAAATCGGATAAGTTAGGACCTAGGATGTAGGTAACCGGGCGGGAGGGATATAATATTTTCCCTTCCTATTAGTTCGAAGAGATATAAAAGTAAGAAGAATCTAGGTTATGGCTATTTAATTTTGTTTGATTGAAGAAGCTCCCAAGCAATGTGGCGAGTTGTGACGGTTAGGCAATTTGACCCGACCGATTTACGGGAATTCAATCCGTCAAATCGGGTGCGATCCAAAGACTTGACCGGATTATCCGCTGTGATTAGATGCATGACGTCGTACAGAAGCCTACGATACATGCTAACATACATGCTAACATACATGCTAACATACATGCTAACATCTGGCTGGCGAGCTAACTGAGCCTATGAAAGTGACTCCTTTGTAAGCCAACAATAACTTGCTAGTACTCGTGGAATGAAGCCGTTAAATGATATGTGATAGTATAAAATGCATTCCCATGATTGCATTGCTGTAACTTTCCACACGGGGATGTACGTGTTGCGTTTTTTATTTTTATTTTTTATTGTTATCTTTTATAATTACCTAACCTAGGTACCTATACATTCGTGTTGTGTTATACCTGTGGCGAGTAGTAGTTGAGCTGTTGCAAGTTGGTGTTACTGAGCGTTATTCTGTTATTGATAAAGCTTACCTAGGTACGATCTGGTATTTGCACTAGATTGGGCTCAAGAATGAAATTGTACTGAACAATAAAGGGAGAGGCAAAAAAAGGAAAAGGAAATACAAAGAATCTTATCCAATCGCGATGCATTAAATATTATTATAAAGTAACATTGAAGAGCAATATTGGTGATATGCGCTCGTAATTATTGTATTGATTGCTGTCACTGCAAGGAGATAGCGTATTGGGATGAATTGATAATCAGTTTACAGGTACCACCTTAGGCTGCTATAGAGACTTGTCATGCGCCGCAAGTGTGTGAGTAACTAATCGTCGCAATTGCCTAATTACGTACTCGTCCTTCTGCCTCTAGCTCTTTGCTCTGTGTGCCTGCTGGCACTGGTGAGAACAAAAAGCAGGCGCAGTAGCAACTGGCCTAAATTGATAATTGACTTTCCTAACCTACTAAATTCCCCACTTCGACATCGACTAGTTACCTATCAACCCGGCGTCGATTTACATAACATCTTAGGTTAAACCACTACGGATCCGTACATCTTCCCCTTCTCTTCCTGACTTGTCCAACCTCCATATACTACTACTTACTACCCCCCCCCCCCCCCCAACATCATTATCAACGGCGTCAGTTTCTCCTTACTGCCCGTACGATAATTTGTAAATTTTCAAGTCTTTCACTCGGTGCGATCCCGTGCTGGTAACGAGGCTCGGAAGGGAAAGTGAAAAGCCGTTAGGACCCCAACTTATTCTACCCAAAGGTTTGGTGCGGTGCATTGGGCAGATCATTCACCCTTTGGAGCTTTCTAAACTGCAGAGAAGCTAGCTACGCAAGCTCCGGGAGCTGCGACATGTCAGCGTGCGTCCTAGTTTGGCTGCAGCACGAGATCAACGCCACCATCGATTTTCACAAAGGAATTTTGTCAACTATCATCTTCATTACCAGGGTGTAAAGAGAAGAAAAACGAGGGACAGAGACTCGCCCTCGAGACTGACTAAATAAAACAAAGCTTGTGTTACATATCCTTAATCCAACAATAGTTCGATTCGATATTACAAATTTATAAGCGGAGCTTCAGATACGATATAATACGATATCCAGTATCCCCTCCCCTCTCCCCTCTCCCCCCTCCCCCCCGCCATGGATGAAGCGCTCGATCCTGCGGCAGCAGCCGCAGCATTTTCTGCCGCTTCGCAGTTTCTCAATACTTATGCTGTAGGCGATACTATCTCTCGTGCAACCTCGCCCGGCTTGCCACCCTCTAACTTACCCGATACCGACGATACTAAGCGCTATCGACCGCGCACCTTTGCATACTTTCAACTACTACCCTACCCAGTCGAAGACGATGCTGCTCGCGATGCCGCCTTGCAAGGAATATTGAGACAGCTCTATATAGCCGTCAAGGCTGAGGATTTCTCCCCTGGTGCTCTTCACTGGACGCGGCAGCTTCAGGGATGGCTGGCGCTCAAGTTCGACATGCCTCGGGAGTTACGCGCCAAGCTCGTACAGTTGTACTTCCATCTGTCGCTTGCGCCCGGTCTAGATAATAATTCGGCCGATCGGTTCTCTAAGATGGTTGTAACGTTGATCCGGAGAAAGCAAGCTCTTAAGCCTGAACAAGACCTCATCCTCGACTGGAGACCCCTTTGGACGGAGTTGAAGGCGTTAGTGTTACCCGGCGAGGCTGCTGCGCATCATTCTTCTAGACGGCGGGGTGGTAAGCACCTCCGGAAACTGTGCCTCTATTCGCAGTTATACTTCGATCCCAAAGAACGGCGCGCTATCCTGGAAGAGGTACTGCCATATTTCAGTACTTCGGACATACAAAATGCCTACATTGTTATTGGTCTCTTGAACATTCTAATGCCCACGACACCAGCTCCTCCTACCGAGCTACAATCTCAGCCATCCGATTTCATACCTACTTTCTTCCATCTTTGGTCGCTGATGACCCGCTCCAAGGTGGTAGACAATGCCTTCATCGATATATTCTCCAGAGTTGCTAGGGACTATTTGACATGTCGGCATGTACCCTTCGGCGAGCATGGTGTCTTCACACGGGAGCAGTCTGATCTAATATTTACTGCTATTCTTCGTTTGACTGAGATACCAGTTGGACAAGCGAATTCACCATACACTTCACTTGACTACTCGGTTGGGATGGCCATCTTCCTCGAGAAAGACAAGAAAAAACATCCAATACCCTATATTGTCGCCCGTTGGGTTATATCTTCCTTATCTCCCCATTGTCTTGGCAAGGACAATTCAATATTAAATAGCCTCGAAGGCTTCATGGAATCGATTGATACTTTCTTCCACCCATCGAATCACGGCTCCTGGTCTAAGATGCTGGCTCAGCTGACCTATTACCTCAGCGAGTTGTTTGTATCTCGTTGGAACCGAGAACAAAGTGAAGAGCAGGACACCCCCGCCGACCGAAAGATCAACGATGCTCTGAAGCACCGTTTTGTCTTGAGTTTGCGAGAGGTCACTTTTATGGGACTCTTCGGGAAAAGTTCAGCTATCACCAGCTTGTACTTTAACGCTCTGCAAAATCTTACCTACCTGGAGCCTGATCTGATGCTGCCCGGCGCACTCCAGAGGTTCTACCCGAGTTTGCAAGGCCTAGTCGAAGTTCATCGGACTACCTCTAGTCTCTGTGGCCTAAACATGATTGCAAATATTATGTCGAGTCAGAAAGGCTTCAGATGCCACATCACTGCTCTATTAGCATTAGCTCTACCTGGTATTGATGCTAATGATCTAAACAAGACACAGTATACCCTAAACTTCATACAAAGTGTTTCGTACAGTATCCCGTTCGTGACTTTGGCAAAAGAGAATAACCAGGTTCATGATACTAGCCTCGCCATGCAATGGGTCCAAGGGGAAATGGAGCGGATGGAACGCGAGGGCCAAGATGTTAATATCGACTATAAGAACGAGTTGACCGACGAAGACGAGGCGGACATTGTGCGCTCCTCAACCGCAGGTTTCGGTGAATTCATCTTGACGCTCCTAGGGAAGGTCTTTACGTTGCTGGAGAATTTACCAGATTCGTCGCAGGTCCGCTCTGGATCCCCTGAAGATAATATTATCAATACCCTACCGGCTGCCTTGACCCCAATGTTTGCTTCTCTATCACCTGAGCTCTTTGACATGGCTTTAGAGAAGCTTTCTACCTTTGTTTCGAGCCATGTAGTCCACCAAGCTCGCGATGCTATGGCTTGGATCTGCAACGCGCTTTGCAAAGTGAACCCAGAAAAGACACTGAAGGTATTCATTCCTATGTTGATTGTTAATATACGAAATGAAATTGACTACAACGGTGCTGCATCCGATCGGAGCAGCGGCACCGAAGTCCTTCCTCGGGATAGGGCTCTCGTGTGGCACGTGAGTATCTTGAGTATGTGTGTTGTTCATGTGGGCAGCGAGGTGCTCAAGTATAAAAAAGATCTTTTCGAAATTGCAGAGTACATGCAAGATAAGTGCAGAGGCCTCCCCACTATTCACATTAGCAATTATATACACCATTTACTACTCAACCTCACGCACACGTACCCAATAGATACCTCGCTTTACGAGCCTGATGTCATAGAGCGTGGCCTAGACGTCGCTGATTGGGGCAAGACAACATCACCAGCGGACTTAACGATCCGGTGGCATCGGCCTCTTGAGGAAGAGATCCAGTTTGCGGTTGAACTGTTCGAATCCCAAGCTGGAGGGGCCATGCAACGGCTTGAGTCATTTATGAGTGAGAATCCACCTGTTAGTCGGAAAGGAAAGAACAAAGAATGGTCGGACGAGGTTTCTCGCCAATTAACTCAGTTGCGATTGGTCATCTCAGGCCTCGCAACCCTATTTGACCCGAAACGGGCATCTGGGGAGGCTGGTGGACACCTTAATGGTAATGGGAAATCTGAAGAGCAAGAGGACGAAATTATGGCTGATGGCGACGACGATGATGACGATGACAACAACCCGTTAGCCGAAGTGGGAGAAGATGACGACACAAAGCCACAGTTTAAATATCCAAGCGGTTACTTACTTACACCCGACACCCCGCTTTACGACCGGATCCATAACCTCCGAGAAGATATAGGACGGTTGCTCTCCCGAACACACTCGTTCCTCAACTCCCACCAGGAAGATGACGTCGCCTGCTTCACAGCTCTATACAACACGTATCGTACCTGGATTACGGATGTGGGATTTGAGAGGTCAGCACACCCATTAGACCGCCTGGTTCGACTATACAGGGCAGATATTGCCCCTTTCAAGATAAGTGGTTTGCGAAAGGTGTATCCCAGACCTCTTCTTATCAAGAGGGCCGATGCATATCAGCTACAGAGGGTTAAGCATAATGCATCAGTCCGGAGGAAGAGCGAGCTAGATAAGTGCTTGCTCCTTGACCTTGCCGAATCCTCTGTCTCTTCATATGCGGACGTGAGACGAATTGCCCAGGGTGCGCAAGATGCGTCACTAAAGGCATTGATAGGTGGCCGCCCGCTCGTTATCCCTGTCATACTGGAGAGATTCCGCAAGGCCCTCGAAGAGGTCGACCACGATCGTATCAAGGGTGCCATGTATACATTACTCTTCACAAGCTTACTCAGGACGTTAATGAGGGACTGGAGATTTGCCCCTGACTTGATGCGATTATACATACAATCAGCCAACGTCGACAAAACGTCAATTCAGAATCTGGGAGCAACTGCCATTTACCCGCTGATGGACTTTGGTAAGCGGTTCGAATTGATGGTGATTACCGATGAGGAAATAGTTAGTTTGATCAAGCCAGCTGAAGATTGTTCGAAGGCTATCGATACAAGACATGATTTCATTGTTGAGCGCAGAAAGAGGGTCGAGCAGAAAAAGGCAGCATTGGGACTCGAATTAACGGAAATTGCAAAGGAATCACACTGGAAGACAGCCAGCCGTTGTGCTATCTTTACGACGAATCTTTGTTTACGCTTCGAGGGCATCGCGCCACCAGAGTTCATCGAGCTCGTCGTCAAGGGAACAAACGACCCCCACCCAGGCTTAAGGGCTAATTACCTAAACGCATTTTCAAACATATTCACTGCGATCGATCAGCGTGCTGTATATGGGCACAGCTACCGGGACTACCTCTGCGAGAAGGAGCAAGATATCAACAAACTTGTCATCCCGGTTCCGAAGGGTGATGCCGAATTTACGGAAACTTTCTTAGATAGCTTCAAGCACCCTGAAAGTACAAAATACTACGTCGACACAGATCACCCTGGCTGGCTAGTCTGGGGCAAAAATTTCAATGCCTTCAAAGCAGACCCGGAAAAGTTTGACGCTTACGATGACGTTGAGAAGGCTGCTAGGCAGCAAATTGGCAAATTAATAACGAGGCAGTGGCTTTCTCAATGCTTCGATTATCTAAAGCAGGAGCCGCGAGACTCATCCTCCGATAGGTTCAGAACCTCCAACGTTGTGTTGCTCATGCATGTCTTTGACCTTATGATATACGGGCAAACCGAGCTCAAGTTCGAGGATGTCAAAGAATTGGTAAGTGAAGTATACGGCGATGGAAGCGACAAACACCAGCATCGTGCTACATCAGAGATCCTGGGTGCATTGATGGTTGGTACGGCTTACGATCCTGTCCGTATGAAGCAGGAAGTCTGGGGCTTTGCACAGCCGATGATCCTCGATATTTTCGCCGATAACCTTACACCCGATAACCTCTCGTACTGGGCCACGTGTCTTCATTTTATCATTGATACAAAGGATCCTCGCCGTGCTAGCGAGCTTGTTAGCCGCCTGAGCTCTTTCCGCCTAGATATGAACTCCAACGCCGCCTTTAAGGAATCCTCAAAAGTGCAGCTTCTCGAGTTCCTCATTAATGACTGTGGCTGGCACTACCGTCACGATGAACCCATCTTGGACGACTTCCTAGCGCACATTGACCACCCATATAAAGCCGTACGCGAATCCATCGGTCGTGTAATTGCCACTATCTATAGAACTAGATATCACGAGTCATTCGAGAATGTTAGCGCTCTACTAGAACAGAATAAGGCAGACTCAAACATCGGTATTCGACCTTACAAGCCAAGTGATGAATTTACCGCTACCATCAGAGACGTATTTGCTCGTCTGGAAACTTGGCGCCACGAGCGTACGCCTGGCCAACAAACGCCATCTTCTTACACGTCTGGGTCAAAGACGGTCCTCATATGGCTGGACAACACTCTTTCGTCGCAGGAGTGCATCCAGTTGATTCCATTCTTCCCGGAGCCGTTTATTGACCAGCTTCTACACATGATGGACGTCAAAGAAGACCCAGAATTAATGCGTCTAGCCTACCATGTCTATCGCCATCTGCCGAACATTCCCTTCCGTACTGGAGAAGACGCGCCGTTCATTGCGGCATTGATCCGTCTGGGAAGAACTGCCACAAGCTGGCACCAGCGTCTAAGAGCACTTGTTAACATGCAGGTCATCTATTTCCGGCGATTATTCCTGATGGACGCCCCGCAGCGAGAGTTACTTTTCGACGCTGTGGGTGACATGCTGGCCGATTCCCAGCTTGAAGTTCGAACCGTTGCAGGTGCGACGCTGGCAGGTATGATCAGATGTTCCCCGGCTACGATACGTAACCCCTTCATCGCTACCCTAAAGTCGCGTTTCGAGACTCAACTGGCGAGGAACCCAATGCCGAAGAAGAGACAGCCGGGGACAGAAACGCCGGTCAATGTCACACAACAAATCGTGAAAAGACATGCTGCTGTCCTGGGTCTCGGAGCATTGATTGAGGCATTTCCATACGCGACGCCGCCACCAAGTTGGATGCCTGAAGTCCTAGCCTTGCTTGCAAGACGTGCAGCAAGTGATCCGGGCGTAGTTGGCAAAGCCACCAAGAGTATCCTATCTGAATTCAAGAAGACAAGACAAGACAGTTGGGGAGTTGATCAAAAGGTAAGCCCCAGTTTCTACTCCATATTGGCAATCGACTTACTGACATATTAAATAGTACTTTACTCACGAGCAACTCGAGGACCTAGAAGGAGTCCTCTGGAAAAGTTACTTCGCGTAATAGTAAGAGGAGTTCATATTTACCCCACCTTTAGCCGTACCAGGAAGTGCTTGATTTAGGAATGGAATAGAAACTTAGGCATAGGCGGTGCTTTTTCTTGGAATACCGAGTGTGTACACTAAAGGCCACCGGGATGGAAACGAATATAGGTCGCATGGGGGTCAGGTAGATACTTTTACATACATATAGATGTGGAAGGATACATCAGGTGTGTTCGGACAAATAAACCATTAGAACATGCAGTGCTCGGGGGCGCTGATAACTGATAGGTGCTAGCGAGTTATCACGTACCGCATAGCGTTGGGTGGACCACTAGGCCTAGAAATCAAGGCGGCGACTATAGAAAATATCAAATACATATAGAGCGCGCAATGTCTTGAATTCCGTATTTGTGGTTTTTAATAATCGACCTAGAACACGTTCAGTTACCTATACCTATCCGTTTGAGATCTCTGAACTTGGACTGGCAGGCGTCCATGAGACTCGGGAGTATATCCTTCCGTCATGTTGCTACTTCAATATAGTGTAGTCTGTCTTGTATCTATGTGTAAGCCGGATGACTATGGAAAGGGGTTAACTGTATAGGCTAGGTAGGTATTTAGCCCCCGATTACTAGCCTTAACTTAAAAGACTGCCTTAGGTACCTAAATATCGTGATGCTTTTAATTCGGCGTGGTAAATTGTTGATAGAGGTACCTTGAGTAGGTTGGAATGTTATTTCAACCATGATTTAACACTTGCCGGTTGACTTGCTTCTCCATCTAAAGATAGAGTAAGGTTGTTCCATTAACAAAACTCCAAGCGAATCATTCAACCATAAGCTGTTTTTACTTACCTATTTAGATTACGAAAACAGTATTTTGTGTCTTTTATTTTTACTGCATTGATATCATTAAATGGTGGTTTTTGAACGGCATATCATGCCTATCGACATATTACTTACTACTTGTCTCTATCAAAATGGGTTTTGATAATTTAGGTAAGTACTTGGTTAAGGAATAACTCTGGATTGGTAATATTTACTAAAACTCTATTCTATATTGTTAGTCCCTATAATACAGGTAATGTTTTCTTACCATACTTTGTTGATTGACTTAGGTTAGCCCAGGAAGTATCATTAGCTTAACTACCTAAGTTATAAAGCTTGAGTAACCTTTTACTTAAACAATTAATTTATAACGTTCATTTACACTTGAAAATATTGACAGACGTAAAGTTGCCATTGGAACCAAGTAATAATATATTTATATTCATTAAAATTGATATACATCTATTATACATTGAGTGCAGGAGGCGTTTTCATTTCATAACATGTAGTAATCTTTTTAAAATTCTAAAAGCGAAATAATATTTATTTCACTAGCAATGGATATATTTCTAACTCATTATTGGACATCTCTCAAGTGGTAACGTTTATCTGAAATAAGCTCTATCAGGTCATTCCCATTTTAACTCTCTTACTGGCACCTTAACTCCTAGAAGAGTTGTGTTGGGAACCATCGGTATTAATGTATCAATACTTAAACACAAATTGACATATAGTTTATTAGAAATAGATTGCAAATCGCTTTGCTCGTAAGCTTAATAAATGGCAAAGTTCCCATTAGTAACTATTAGTCTGGGTTGGACTCTAATCTCACATCGCTCGCAAAACAGCATTGCTGTAGTTTAGTAATCGTTGACAAAACGTTGGATAATCATCTAGGTAGGGCAACTTGCGTGTGCCGCGCATGAGGACTTTAGTCTAGTACTGACTACTTTGGGTTGAGCAGTAAGTTACCATAAGTGATTCAAAGATATCACGACCAATATATATCGCGTTTAGCGCCGTTATTCCATTAAACAAACTTATGGTTGGTTTTTGGTTCCTCGCGCTTCGTATTCGGGGCCAGCTGTAGTTAATAATGTACCTAGGTAGTTAATAGTGGTGATGATGTACATCGACCTTTTCTAAGAACAACGTCTCGAGGGTGTACTCCTAATGTCGTGTAGCGCTGCACCGCAACACATATATCCAGAGGAGTGAAATCCCTGGCCTATGGTAGACATGCTGCCTACTGATGACGCCTACCAACCATCGTTCTTATTGGATCGACCACTTGATATGCCCATTAATTACCTAGGTAGGTAGCTATGTCAACTTATTCATAGTTGACTGCCCTATGGCTTTCAAGCACCATTTTCATCTGCCCCTGAAGCGGGTTTCAATATTGCCGCTACGTTAAAACTAATAGATGGCTTAGAGGTATTTGCGATATGATGTCTCATCTACGTAGTCTACTGGAATGAAAGGAACTGGGCTAGGGCGGGCGGCAAGGGAAGAGCGCATGATTTGCTCAAGAGAAAAGCATGAAGGCATGAATCATAGGCCGGCGTTGACTCCAAAATGGATAACCTGCCTCTCTATAGGTTAGTGCAAGAAGCAAACGGTTTCTGAAGGCGTCTTGTCAGAATAGCCGAGGAAGTGATTGGGGAAAAAATGAGCAGCGTGTTCTCCAATCAGCATCCAAAGGCGCGGAAGGGTTAGAGTTCATACGAACGAACCTTTGAGAGGTTCGATGACAATAGCCAATAGCTGTACTCGTGCAGCATTATAATACACGTGCGGCTATGTAATTGACATACATACGTACCTTGCTTATAAGATTCTATGGCAAAGCAAGTAATTTCTCCGTACGGGTGCCTATATCATGTGTTACGCTTTAGTGAGTCCACGACGTTGTAGTGATGCACTATATCGTAACAAGAAAACTGAAGGCCGCATGATCGCAGCCAGCAACAACTGCCGCAGGTGAAGTAAATCAGCCAACCAGGCGGAAGCTCCTCCATCTATGCATCATATCTCAAGTGCACCGGAGAATTAATTTTAAAAGCGGCTACAACGGGGGCCTCCTCATCTGGCCGCTCCAGATCCGACCGTTACAGAAACCGGCTAGGCTGGGCTGGGCTGGGCTGCTTGTAATTACTACACCGCGGGTCTAACGGCTCGAAAAGCCAACTGTCGGTTTGGCTGCTATGATTTCCCAGGGCCTATCCTCCCCCGAGAAAATCACGATCTTGGTGCTCACGGCCGTGCATCGTACGGATGTATGATATGTTTCCTATGCTGGTGAGGCTATTGCACGTCAAGTTCGCATAGAGTCGTACCCGGTGACTGTAACATAACTAGCGGCAACACGCTGATACGGAATATTGAGGGGAAAGAGCTCGAACCGGGAACGACCATAGTCGAGCTCGGCGGAACTCGGTATCTAGGGCTGATCTATCAAATTCCTAGCTCAGCGCTATGTAGAGACTGCGCAAATATGTATCATTCTGCTGGCAAGGAAGAGGGACGGGTTCTACTCTCTATGGATTCCGGGAGATTAGGTTCCAGAATCGACTGGTAGTACCAGTACATAGAGAGTAAGCAGTACGACGAAAGTTACAAGAAGATAGCTCGCAATTGCAACAGCGGCAACTTGCTTGGCAAGTAGTGTGGGTTTACATATGTATGAAGTTCATTCCGTAGTCGTTTTGTTGGGGAACATGTTAAAAACGGAACAGCAATGATAGTGATTGTAGTATGCTTCGATGAAGACGGCTAGGATAATTCTACAGCCAAGACTATGAAAGGACCTTTGACTCTGAGTCTGGATAACGGCATGTACATAGTGTAAAATAGCAAGGGCTGAACTAACAACGGCCAATGAGCATTGCTGGACTTAGCAAGGCTTAAGTTAAGGCGGATCTTCTCTAATATCTCGAGAGACTCATTTGAACAGTCGTAATTTAGCGCTTCCGATGGCCCTAGCGGTGGTTGGAAAGCTATAGAGATAAGTACATCTAAGAATTTTCTTTTCAACACTGAGCACAAATTGGTCCAGTTCGGCGTATACATAGTAAACGATGTAACGACGGCTCGCGGAAGTTGTACCCTTGACCTTGAAGGGATCATCTCAACGGACCCCTGATTCTCTGCTTGTAACCCTCTCGGTACAGTACCGTGTATCCCTGAAATGCGGGGGTATAAGATAAGTACGTTAATGATCGAATGGATCTTTTCGGGAAATGGTAGTGTCGGAGATAAGCTTGAAAAGGGGCAAAGCGGTTCATGACTAAGTTGCTAGAGAAGGTATACTGGCGGGGCTTAGAAAATGCTAGGACGCAGTCATAGAATCCTATCATTTGAATGGCGTTAAAAATTCCTGATGGGTATGGAAGGAGGCATATTTGCATATTATTAATCCTCCGGGTTTTGGGGTATCATGCAGTTTTGACAGCCATCCCGAGAGCGGTCTCGAGCTTGTGAGGGGAAAAAACGTGGTATCCGGGTGAGGAGTCCGTGTATGTAAGACAGGGGGCTTTGAGTGAGCTGCATCTTTGTTGACGACTTAATTAACCTACATAGTTGATGTCACTTGTCTGTTGATCATCCTGCTACGCTAACCAAAGTCCAAATGAACTTCTCAACTACAGACAACGACGTGTATTTTGTATTTTGTAAAATTACTAGCGGAGTTGTGTCGTAGTTGTCGCAATTCAACCATGCTATGTAATCTCGCGCTCGGTAAATACATAAGAGCACTAAATGAGAAGAGCTCGCAATCCTACTCTCTTGGACCGGGTATCTCATATAGGCAGGCCGGGCTGCCGTCTCTTTCTTTCTCTCTCTCTCTATGTATCATTTGTGACATGGATATAATATTCTACTTTGATCCTATCTTGACATATTGTGCTCGACGCTAAGGACAAGAGACGAAGGTCATATTGTGGATAGCATGATTATAACCTGACAACTCGTCGTTAACAGGTATGTACTTGTTCGATGCCGAGCCATAAATACTACATTAAGTAGGCTTGATCAATCTTGTATACATACACTAAAGTTCCTATCCCGTCGTTACAATTCAACTAACTCGGGAGACGGGTAGACTTCGTTCTATCGGAGTATTAATGTGCTCGCTACCTAAATGTTGCCTCTGAGGGTGGATTTACCTGTACTCCGCATGCAGTCTATTTACCCCCATTGTCCAGATTAAGGAAATGTGATCATTTGATTGCCTTTTTAGGATTGATGGTGTGCCAGTACTGTAACCCTCTCTTCCCCTACGCGTTTTCCAAGCTGCGACCGTAGTTATCCACGCCGAGTGCGGGCAGACTTGCATATGTACGCTGCTCTGAAAATAGCTCCCGTTGGTGCTGAAGCGAGATGTCATTTACTACAGCGGTTACCTGGTCCAATCTTGATGCCAAGTCTCAAGCAATATACATCACTATCAAAGTCGCGCACGACGTCGAGGACTTAGAAGGCTATGTAGTTACTCTGTGATGGGACTCAGGAGGTAAAGTAAATTGCTTCCTATATTTGTTAATTAATACTGTGGCCGCGGACAGCGTCATTTGGAATATCTAATCCATACGTATTATTTATTTAACTACCTGGTATTATGTACCCTCCGAACTTGTCATAGAACTGCGCCTCCGGCTCCCCGGCTAGCGTCAAAGATGGCGATACCGGATTCGGCCGTTGTGGGTAGCGATTCAAGACAAATCTCGGAGAATATTTTCGGAGGCTAGGGCCGAGGAAAGATCCTCGTCGGTTATTCGGGGCTTGTCGAAACTCTCTGGTATTGTATCTGAATGTATTGTACAAGAAGGTATCCGGTGAGTAGGGACCTTTGTAAGGGGACCAGGGTGGCTAAGCAGAGAGCATGGGTCATAGTCGCGTGTGGACCAAAAGAGAGCAGGGTATAACAGCAGGGGGATGGGCTCCGAAGAACTCCACGTTTCAATCATTTCCTGCAACTTGGAGAAGCACGTCGCGCAATAGCGGCCGTGGGTCCAAATGCAACGGTTTGGGCACATCGTAATTGACAACAGCAGATGCCGTACTGATGTGGGCATTGCAATATATCGTCTTGTTCTTGGTCCAACAACGATACGAGAGGGTTGGTCCAGATATTGGAAATGCCTGAGGCCTCAAAAAAGCTTGACGGGCGACCGAGTTGGACCACCGTTGAACTATTGGCTTGGCTACGACTAGGATGGGAGGATGGAGTTATGAATGCACAAGGGCAAATTACCTACGCTGAATAGATATATATGCCAATAACTAATTAACTATAAAGAAAATAACTACCTAATGTATAGTTGTAAAGTATAATAAATAGAAGTAGAGAAAGTCGCCCAAAGGGACTAGTTCTTGTTGTTTAGTGCTTTCTTTATTACCTTGGGTACGTAATGATCTTTAGATGATGACTTTTCGAGGACGTCTGAGCATTTTCGAAGTCTTCTAAGCGTATTCTATTCGGGAGAGCCCGTCACTTAAAACCCGGGTTTGCCAAATGCACTCAGCAATTAGTGTATATACACTTAATTACCACAAAGCCTAGCAAACCCCAGTGCCTTGGGTAGAAGCGTTTTGGCAAGATGGGGCTTGAAGGCTAATAGAATGTGCCGAATAACCATCCCTAAACTGTCCGGTACAGCCCGGGACAGGGGTTTTTCGTAGTCCGAGTGGCTTAGTTGTACTATTATATCCACGTAGTGTATGTATACCTATACATGCCTCGGGGAAGTAGATGAGGCCTAGGGGAACAAGAACGAATTGGAAATGGAGGCTCATCGTCTACAAAGCGCTTACAATACCAAGCACCGACAACACAATCGACTTTGATAATACCGTGACAAGAAAACTCTGTCTTGAGTGCTGTACGGAAACTCTAGCATGAGTAGAAGTAACTATCAGAAAATACATAGTTATACATACCAGGTAGGTACCTAACCTAGGTAAGTATGATAATTATTTTAGATGTGCTACCCGCAAAGAAGGGCCTAGCCGGCCAGCTCCGCTGAGAATAGAGTATGAAAGTGTACCTAGCCTAGTTTAGGTACTTTTCCTGTTCGATTCTCGGTCCCTTCAGCGGTAATATCATTATTGTTAGATCGGAATATTGGAAGCTACTGTATCTATTCTAATGAAGCCTAATAAATTGCCTAGAGGGTAAGTAGTAAGAGGAGACGCGTTTGACAGGGGTTGCAGCGTATGTATGTAGAGGCTTCTACCAAGCAATCGTGGCGAATTGGTCAGTAAACAGCACATAACAGCTAAACACCTCATCATGCTTACAACAGCTGCCACATCTGTTGTTGTAGACCTGCTGGAGACCTGAAAATGAGATTTAATCCTGAAATAGTGATACACCTTAGAGGAGGGCTAGAAGAGAGACTGTAGTAATGCACTGTACTCGTGCCTGGCAACCTTGATTTTCGTTGCTTCTCTCTCGCCGTGGCGGGTACATTCCGAATAGTTTGCAAGTCTGGTTCCGCCCCTTGCGGGCATTTGTTAGCTTAGCTACCTAGGACCTAGGTAAATACATCTTGACCCCCCCCTGTTATATCATGATACCTGATGGGAGAAGTAGATACAACCTGTCTCGTAGTAATTTGACTAATGACTTCTAGATCTAATAGGAAGAAGCACAAATCTCCATCGACAGGCCTACACGAGGCTGCAGCCGAGCGCTATACCGTGATGCTTGGCCCCAGCATGTACAACATGTCACCAAGAACTGACTGCACAATGCATTTCCGTCACACCTATCTCCTGAGTTAGCAAGCGGAGACGCTCCAGCCGTGACACCGGCCAATCCGTAGAAGATGCTTTATACTACGTTGGATCGTATAGGGAAACTACAGAAGAGTTGTTCTTACTAGAAATAGTCACACGGAATTAGACTCGCGATCAATGAAGGAAGATTTTTATATTTTGTGCCAAGCTCGTAGTAAGTTGAGTCACATTGCAGATTGCAGATTCCAAGCCTAGTATTGCAGTGATGCTTTTCATGTCTATTGTACTCTAACAATTAGGGGGATTCTTGAGGAGTTGCTCATGGGCAGGGGTTATCGTAATATCAAAACTCCAGGGGCGAATCCATTAGCCCCTTAATGTGCGTAAACCGCAATAAATAGTAGAAACAAAGGGGAACTAGAGGGGTGGAAGTGGTAATAGTGGGAAAACCAATGACGCAGAATAGCCTCCATTTGGGTATCTTTCAGAGAAGTGCTTTTGAAATCCCGTATTCCCAATACAAACTCAAGAGGGCGAACCGGTGAAAATACGACTGTGTGTCAAAAATGCCCTCACCATGCATCAATTTACCTGAAAATCAAACAATACCAATCCACGCACACACACGCACATATTCACACGCACCAACGCCGCCTTGCCTGCCTGCCTGTGAACTGGAAAATCCCACTGATGCAATGTCCCGTATGATGCCCAACGAATAATTTTGGAAAGTGAATTAAAAAACGAATGGGTGGCCGCGTAATTGTAAAAATGCCGTCATGAAGTGCCAACGTGAGAAATTTGCAATAATTATTATTCTAAGCCGCTAAAATTTTCGTCGATCTCGAGTGAAAAAAGGGGTATGAACTGTTACGTTGGTAGCATCCATTATCTGTAAGGTGACGATGCCCTCGGTAGTAACTATGCGTATATGAGCAATTTTGACCAACCCTAGTGGTCTTGCTGCGTCTTGTTAACCATATGATTTAGATGGTGGTCGAACGAGTCAGTACCGCCAATAGGATATGATCCATTTAGACTTTCGGATGGCATCGTCGCTGTCAACGGTGTTCCTAAACCGTGTTCTCGAAGACTGCCGTGATCGTAAGCATTCTGCATGCTTTGATATGGTCCTTGGTTAGTGTAAGGAGACTGGTGAGTCGGATGTGCGTTCGATGTCGGGGGTGCTGTAGTGTACATATTAGGGCCTACTGGTGACGCGGTTCCCGATGGTGCACCATTCAGCGGACCGTGTGACCTAGGAGAGACGCTATGTATCGGTGAAGCCAAAGCGGATTGGGGATGAGGTGGAATCGGAGCGAGATTTAGCGGCGGATTATTTCCGTTATTGGAGCCTGCTGTAAATATGAATGGATGGGATGAACTCTGAGCATTGTTGCTGAACTGAATCGGCGAGTGGTTTATTGGCGACTGTCGTTCAAACCCGTGAGGTCCTTGGCCGAGAGGAGAGAAATGGGTATCAATACGACCGGTTGGCGGAGGCATTGACACCGTTGTCGCCGAAGTTGGCGGTCCCGTAGTCACGGACCCTAATGCGTACGTTGGATTGGTAGGAGGACCATAGTTGCTCCAACGAATATCCGGGCCTCCCTCCTGTGTGGGAGTCCCAGGATTTATGGTACCGTATTCTGGTCGATGTCTTTTTGCTACGGGTTCGTCTCCATAATCGTGGTAGGACCTGTCATCGATCTGCGGCATACCACCATTCTGTGAAGCACTTCCTTGCCTATGCGCTGTTTGCTTGTCCATCTGATCTGCTATACGCAGGTTTTTCTTTTTATTTGCAATTTGCCTCGAATCTTTGCGAAGCCGAAGGCGGACCCCCTGGTCGCTGAAAGATCGTGTGAGAAAAGTCGACTCCGCCATGCCTGGAAATGCCCTGCCGGCGTGGACTTTGAAAGGGTCGCTTGTAACTGAGCATATTGTTATCCAAAACTCTCCGTCGTCCAGATTATCCATCGTCATCTGCAGCAAGTCAAAGCGAATAACGTATTCTCCCTCGCTCTTGATCGTTAGATCCCCAAACACGAAGAAGGCACCCTCTTTGTTAGTGGGGTCCTTCAACCGATGTAAGGACGAAACTGTCGTTCCCGCCATCATGTTTGCTGGTGGAGTAGCTTGACCGTTCGGGCCTGGAGGGTGGGCATATTCGAGATACGCAACGGCAATAAGATAGGGACCTGATGGATGTCAGCAATCTCGACCTTTCAAGGCAAAGCACCATACTCACTTTGCCGATATACGCCATCGGGGTCTTCATCGCTCGGAACGTGCAGCTGGAGAATAGGAGGTGGATCGACGGGTTTGCGGTCTACTCAAGTCAGCTTTTAGTCAAGCGAGTTACAGTAAGTCGATAATACCTTTGTCTTTGCCATTGGCGGCTTTAGCCATGGTCGGTTGCTGTAGGACTTCTAAGCGATACGTTTCGGGCCTGCTGAAGTTTAGTCTATGTTTCGTATAGAATCGCAAAATCCATATGCAACTATTCTACCTACCGCTGTGGTTGAGGGCCACTTGGTTGTTGATGTGGTTGATGATGAACTTGAGGCCCTGATAAAGGGGGCATTGCCGGGCTCATTGCCGGCATATAGCCAGGGCCAGGTCCGTGTCCGACCCAATGGCCGCCCTGATGAGTATGAAATGCCATCTCTACTTGGATAATTTAGAAAAGTCAACGGTGTTCTCGGTTTTATCATTGCTGGTGACTTTGAGGTCAGGTAGAAACTTACGAGGGTCCTCGTGCAATACCTCATGTGCAAATCGTGAAGCACTTTTGCCAGTCGTGGATTGGCGCGCTATAAATCGAGAACCTGAACGGAATTTGACCTTTATCCATTGTTAGCAAGGGGAAAGCAGAGCAAACTAATAAATTAGAAATAATAGTAGAGATGGAAACTAAGAGCGGGTTTTGCAACCCACGCCAATGCCCCAAGACTGCCTGGGGACAGAGTCCCTCATTCGAACCAGACCACGACAAGAGGTTGCACTCTGATGGCCAGGAGCTGAAGGGTTCTTAAAAGAATCAAAGATGAAGGTTAGAGAAACTAACTTTTACGTGTCGTATATCCCTCGTCCGCCTACAACCCAAGTCTTGTTTTACCAGCGCTGATATTTAAGGTATCCAAACCCAATGTCTCCGTATTGTAAATCTCTGGAATTCAAGCAATCTGGTTCGTGATTAATCTGCTCACGAGACGGCGCCGTGTAAACGGTATACTGTATCCAAGAAAACCTTCCGACCAATCTTTCATCCAAACCGAAATCAGTATGGAACAGGCCGATAGCTGTGGGATTCCAAGCAAGATTTGAACAAGACGATGTTTGGACAACACGATTCGTGCAAAAAGAGCCTATTATCCTCTTCTTTTGCGCGGCCGTTGACCTCTTTCTTGTCCGAGCTCCCAGTCTTTCGTAGCCTCTCTTCGATAGCGGGCTGAATAAAACCCAAGCACCTCTTCTGCAAAACGTAGGTGAGTTTTATGCACCGGCAGCTTTGCCGTGAAAGCTTGATTAGTGGCTAGCAACCTTTCCTTCACGCGATCCTAATCACAAGCCAACCTAATTAGAAAGAATTGCTCTGGCCATTCAAATACCAATTTCCTACTTCAAATTCTCAACGAGCGGCAATGACGTATCGTTATCCGCAGAAATTTGTAAATAGGCGCATGACTATGTAAGTGTACTCAGTAAATGGTACCACGAGGAGTAGGTAGCCTCGATCCCGATCTCCTCCTGTTGCAATCTGCTTCGAGACTGTAAACTATCACTGGTGACTAGTAACTGGCAATTAGAACTGAATGCAGGATTCTAGTTCGTGACTCGTTTGTACACTCAAGCAAGTTGCTTTGATAGGTCGCGGGGTGAGATTAGGTAGGTTTGACGGGAGAGAGCTAGAGGTGGCGGCCTGGTATACGGAATCAAAGAGAATAGCCGGGAGTATTATACTCTGTTCGATTTGGAAGATTCGCGCCGGGTGACCTGATATCCCTTAAGAATTGCGGTGCTAATGTGTGGCTGGGGGATTAGTTTCCAAGGTCTCGCGATTTCGCATTCGTGCAGTAATAAAGCCTTTGACCGGTTTGATCCACACACGAGTTGGTCGCGGCCGAAGGTAATCGAGGTGCGCTCTGAAAACGACAAACAGTTACGATGACAGTTTCAAGGCAGTCGGTCTCAACTTCTCTGTCCTGATAGTTGGGAGTGTAAACTGAGACCTTGGTTTGCAAACTCGGAAGTTCACAAGCTTAGAATACTACTGTTGTTCGAACCGATCTTAGGGGAGGGACAAATCCGTGGTAGTTCAAGATTCCTCTTGCCGGTGAGATGCTCGTCCGAGTTAGCTTATACGAATTGAGGTTGGTCGTACGTATGGTGATGCAATTCCCAAGTTTTACAAATCCTGAGAAAAGTTCCAACCTAGAAAGACGAGATAGAAAAGATAGATGATTCGGCAAGGCGGGCGGTAGCTTCGTGGGGGTCTTTCCGCTTTCCGGGATCTTCCAGTAGCATCGATAGGGTGGTCGTGCAAAGGAGATATAGACCGTCGTTACCGTAGCCAGGTTTTCCCAAGGTCATCGACAAGGCCAGTGAGGAATCGATAAATGAAGACAACACGACGTCCTCGTGGTGACTGTTCAGAAGGCGATTTTGGAGCTTGTCATGTATTTGGGTGGATTTACGATGTGGAGAAGAATGAACCTAGGTCTGTATGGTATATCATACTACCAACGGAAAGGCATAGGCTAGGCAAATATGTACGGTCCAAGAATGTACAGATGGCACAGTAGGTATTCAACGCAAACGATAGTGGTATGATCTGGCCAATAACTGCAGAAAGCTCCAGAGAAAAATGCCAACATTAAGCACTGTGATTGATTGTACGGGGGAATGACGATGGTGGGCCCAAAGGTCTAGGGGATCAACCGGTAAGTATGTACTCGACCCTCGAGGGTAGACCCTAAGGAGATAGATACCCTTGATAGATGTACACGAAGCTCGACCACGTTGTACTGTGAGTTTAGTTTATGATTGGTATGATGAATTATCTACCTGGGCTCCGCCTTGACTACTAGTACCTCATACACCTCATACCGAAAGAGCTGGCCTCTGCTGACGAAACCATGCTCGATTGTATAAAAGTACACATACTTCCTTGGGCAGGGGTTAGCTGCAGGAGTACTACCTCGCAGCGAGGTACAGCAACGAGCCTGCATGGGGCGTTGTCGACGTTGTCAACGACGAAATAGCATGTAGAGAGCAACAGGGGGGCGGGCCTTCAAGCTTTTGTATCCGTCTGGAGATATATGTATTGTATGTATTGTACATAATATTATACATATTGTACATGGGCCGCCTGCTCATCTGTCTGTGCTCTGCAGCGGGCAGGTGAGGGATTGATGGGTGGCACTCCCGCACTAGACCTCTTGAACGCGGAACCTCAACGCGCCTACGCGCTTCTTTATCCCCACGTGCGTATATATGATCTAGCACGATATATGTAGATTCAAATGTAAGTGCTCTTAAGACTCACACGAGTATTGATATACTAACAAGGAGAAGGCGGATAAGAGTAGGGGTTCAAAATGAGTATTTTGGAATATACTGGAGCCTGGTTGGTTATATGCGGATTTTGAACCGGCGAGAAGAAGCTGGCACAGTGTGCACAGTCCACCAACCCGAATCCCGGCTTGTATGGCCTCCATGTATGTATGTATGTATGTATGTATGTATGTATGTTGAGACAACTCCTCCAAAATACATAAACCATATAGTAGAGAAAAGAGACAGACTGCCACACAGGCGCATAATACAGCAGCGAGTAGCAGGTGACGAGACTGGCAGAGAGATTGGTGACTGATGACTGGTAGGCAACAAAAAGTAGTGTACAAGAACCCCTTCCAGGGCCGAACAGTAAGTGCAGATATGCGCGAAAGAACTACGCCCCCTCGCATGCGAAGTGGAGGGACGTGGACGGTGAAGACAAGAAATGCTCCACTACCCATCAAAATGTCTAATCCGCGGGCAATGCCAAGTATGGTACATCAATTGCATCGTCCCTCTTTAAAGTAGCTTCGAGGAGGGCCGATGCCACCTAGCAATTAACGCCGTCCATGTATAGGTACGATTTCCGGAACCCCATGTACTAAAAAGATCTGCCATGGCCCATGGCCCATGGCCCATGGTCTAGTTCTAGCGTATGGCACGTTCTTTAAGAAAAGGTGACTTGAGTGACCTGCCGGTAGAAGACCACTAGCTCTTGTTAAATTAACCCATCAAAGGATTTTATTTTTATTTCGTGTTTTTTCTCTTCTTTATTTTATTTCTCCTTTCGTCCCTCCCCTCATCCTCGTCTTCGTCCTCGTCCTAGTCCTAGTCCTCTCTCGTAATCGTAAAGAGGCCGGTGCCCTGCCGAGCGTGACATGCTCCCACATCTGGTTGATTAGGTGTGGGCAATATTCAGTAGTGTACTGCGAGGTTGCTGTCCCGTTACATTTGTGTGATCATGGAAGATCTGAATTCGCCGAATCAGCTTAGCACCCGGTCCGCAAAAGAATGCCGCGCCCAAGCCAAAAGAGATGCATGAGGTTAACTGGTTAAGCTGGTTAGCTACGGGTCTACCGCTAACTGGACCCAGGCTATCCCGTTTTCTTATTCCAAAGATCGGACGGAATCTCGAGCCGGGCCTGGGCCGGTCGTGTTTCAGAAGCTTCTACAGCCCATGTCCAGAATGCGCATGGAAGAGAAGCCATCAAACGCTAAAATGGGTAGGACGATCCGACCTTCACCACCTCCAGGTTAACACGCGCGGCATCCATCTCTTCCCCCTACCTTAAAATGCTGACATCTGCTGTAGCACGTCAAAACTTTAGGTTGGTCTGATGTCGTGCTGCAAGGACCCCAAGAGATTTGACATGGTTCAGGGTTCTATTAGACTAATGATAAAGGGGGTAGCGTTCCTGTGGCGAAGTAATCTTTCGGGTTCCTGAATCCTTGAGCCCTAGCCTCGTCTACGTAGGTAGTAGGTAGCAACTAGCATGCCAAATGGAGTCTCCGTGACTTGAAAGGTGGCCAAGTCCATATCCAGCACCAGATACGCCACACTCTTTTCATCATCGTTCTAGAAAGAGTAGGAGGAACAAAAACAGAATTAGGCCAATGCAAGCTTGCTGGCGCCGATTCGCTCACACTCCAGTTATACTTTATCCTTCGTTCCTTTCATCTACCCCGGCGTTGCAGGAGGGGGGATATACATCACGTATCGTAGGTTATCAGACCGGTATACGTCGATATAGGTTACCTAGATTAGGTAGTTATACGAAATAAGACAGGTTACTAGTTATAGAATCATCATGCAGTGATACAATACATCAGGTGTATCATGTTCAATGAAACCAGGGCACGTGAGAATACCAGGACCCAAGTGTTAATGACGCCAAAGAGGCTTCTCCCACAACCCACGTACCATTTCAAGATATTTCAATGCCGATTGATTAAGAAGCAATATAAAATATCTTGATTAGGAAAGGGTCGTAGTCAGGATTAACTCGGAATGAACCAAGAGAGACAGTTGAAAGGACAAGCAGACGTTTGGCGTTTGCCCAGATCTTGGTCGGCCATTTTAGCCATGTACGTAAGAGCGCCACGGAGCTTCGCGCAATGAGGGGAAGGATTGGGCGAGAGACAAGGACATGCCTTATCCTTGCTTATTGTGCTTTTTCTTGGAGTTGAGATAGGCTTCGGCGAGAAATCCTCAACGCAGAGATCCCTAGGTTACCTAAAGGTTTGGCGCGACGCGAACCGACATTGATGCCCTAGCAGCCTGGATAGCGGCAGGGCTAGCTACGTAGCCAGGACTTGTCCACGAATACCTAGGACGAAGAAGCACGCTTGTACTTTACATAGTAGCTCTGCGGTTCGTGGCCGCCAAGGCATTGACCTGCGCAATGCATAGAAGCTGCATCGCGCGTAGGTGGTCGTAACATGTGAGGCCAGCTGTCAAAGCAGCATCGGGCATCCCAAACTTGTCACGTTCTTGACCCTGCATAGTACATAGCATAGTACATTACCGCATGCCGCTGCGTATGTATTGTATATGTATGTATGTATGTATGTATGTATGTATGTATGTACTGCTGGCCTATCGTGGTCACACTGATCTTGTCGGGAAGACGGAGATCAGGCCGGAGTCTGGAGCTCCAGAGGGACAAGTTTCTCAACGCATATGACTAACAGTGTAAGATGATTCGTTGCTCATGCACTCGCGGATGATCATTGCAGCTGTGGTAATACTAATCGATGATGACGAGGACACCGCCGAAGGATGATGCGATATACTGCGAGAGATAATAATAGCTAAACAATAATAACGCCTCCTCTTGTCGTACAATACTTACTCGGGAGCCACTTGACCAACCTAGCGCGATGAAACACACCACACCCACCAACGTAGTAACATAATAAGGCATTCGATAGGGCTTCAGACACTTGTCTCGCTTATGCTGTTCGTCTAGCTCATGCAGAATGGCCACTGGCGTGCATGCATATCCAGGGTTTTGTCGGAGCACTGCAGATGAGAACCTACCAGTGGGGTGTATTCCGGTTCGGTGTGGATGGAAATCAGACTGCAAAAATAATTCGGGCTCGACGGGCGGTTCGCTTGTTAATGTATAGTCATTTAATGTATATCATCAGCGGGCCGGCCAGCTCGTTACTTGTTCAAGAGGATGATAATAATTATAAAGCTGAGGATGAGGATGAGGATGAGGATGAAGATACTCTCCTTAAGGGTAGTAATGGGTAGGTCAGATACTTAGGATAGGCCCATACCTAAGAAGGTACCTAAGGTATACCTTACATGTGTTGAAACCGAGGAGACGATGCAAAATCTTCTCTATGCGTACACCGCCAGTATGGGGTATGGCATACATAGGTATATGACAAGTCAGTGGCTTGAAGTGGGGGATCGGCCTGCACTTCTCAACCAGAAGTTTGATGGGCCAAATGCTATATCCAGATGTAAGCCACTGTGCGCTATATACTGCCATGTTACCGTATTGGTATTCGAATTGAGCCCTACTACCTATGATATGAAGCTACAGGAAATTGTATGGACTCGCGCGTTGTTGCAATGGTATGCAATCAATCAATATCAGCCCAACAAAAATATGACATGTTACTCTTGTCATTATCCCTACCGCCACATCTTCGAGACTCCCGGTTTGAGAGACGGGTGCCTTATCGAAACCAATGTTTAACCTCGCGCGTCTCCTGGTAACTCTGGAGTTGGCATCCAGATGATCAGAACTCACGGTTCAGTCTAGATCCTTATCCGCTTTTAGACTGATATCCGCGATCTGGGGTTGGGGGAGTTAAGGTGAGATGGTGAGATGCCAGCCAAAGTTGAAGAGACCGTGGTCATGTAAGGCCATCTACATTGTATTATTTTGAACTTACCACACATAAGCTGAGACGGGATCACACACATACTCCGTTGCCGTACCTACATTAGACTCCACGGATCGGCCGACCATGGTTCGCGATGAATTATAGTATATAAGCCGCATAGTAGCACCAACTCTTATGTATATGCTAGCTTAATCAAGCCTACACTATTACCGCCGCGGTGTATCCTAAGAATTTATTACCTGGATCTAGGAATGCCAAGTCAGACGAAAACTTACCCCCCCCTTGTCTTTCGTCTCGGCCTTCGAAATCAAGGGACCTTCCCCACGAGATTCCTCTACAAACCGCGTAACAGGTTGTTACCAATAGCCTGGCATCATCTTTAACCCCAGTAGCAGTAGGCTTCCATTCAATCCCCGGCACTCATCCCATCTCAAATGTTTGTCGTGTCCTAGTAACGCCTCCTTCGGTAAATTGTCGCCATCAATGACGCTACGCCATGACGATGTTGCAGGGTACTAGGTTCTAATCAGCAGATCATCAACATAGGTAGCTAACAACCGTTGAAAACCTACGTGCTTAACATGTACATGTAATAGAAGGTAAATAAGAACGCCATAGTCCACACAGCTCTATGGCCGATACATACCTGGGTATAGCTACACTCTTTCCCCCTTTAAGACATATGAGATTCCTTTCTACGTATGTAGATTTACATAGTTATTAACCCACCATCCTACTGTGGCTGCTGGGAATACCGGCATTATGCGAAGGGCGGAAAAGAAGAAGCCGCGTAGCTTTTCAGCCCACCACCCTACTGCGAAGCCAACGATTGCCTCGATCAACTCTTACCTGAAACGATACCCGCCAGGCTACCTCTAATATGAAAGTGTTAACTGAACTGGGTAACCTAGTGCTTTACTACACGCTATAATAAACTTTCTAGATAATCTGAAGCCATATACAAATCGTATCGTTATGTTGGCTCGTTCCAGGTTCTATGTAAGTCCGATGCAAACGCACAGGCCGGTCAAGTATCCGGAACACCCTTCTGGCTCCCAGCGCCATGGGCCAGACCCCAGATTTGGCAAACGGGCTAATTATGACCAGACCCCTATGACGAAGAGGCGTTTTCTATGTTCACTTTTGGAAATCCGTTGTCAGACAAGTGCTTTTTATTTCTAAATCCGGCAAGTTTGAAAGCTAAGGAGGTACAAAGGTATATCAAACGATGTCGACGCCATCCTGCCGGCATATCCAATCAGAACAACTCATTGTCTTAACCGAACGCATGTCAAAAAAGAGGCTTCGGCCCAAATAAACAGAGCATTGGCTGATGAATTATAGCGGCCCTTGCTATAATTAATTAATACGATCCATATAGTATTACCTATCTACACGACATTTCAAGTCAGGGATGTCATTGTATCAGATGTCCGTCATTCTCATTTTCCCTGCTATCTCTTTTCGATCTCCGCATTCCATAAGACAATTAACCATGGATGGTACTGTATTAACCCACCGCGAGTACATCGAGGTACATTTTAACAACCTACCTGATATAAGCCGCGTTGATATGACACTTATTAGTCTTGCATGTAATACACCCGGGCAAAATTCAGCGTGGGATTAAAAAAAGAAAAAGAAAAAAAAAGGTAAAAGAAAGCGGCATTTCGTCAACGGCTTTACCCTCCCTAAATCCACGTGCGCTGTAACGTCTGCCATCACCCGGTCCGCCAACATAGCGGATGCGGTGTTCCTTTCCGACCTTTAAAATACAACGATACCTACAGCGGCATACAAGACCCTGCTGCTGAGATGCAGTCGCTACTGCAGCTGCCATGTGCTGAGTTGTCCCACCCTCATACTACATCATACGTCCATGAATACCTAGGTTCCAGTGCTATTGATGTTTTGAGTGAAGTGCAGAATCTGACCGCGAGCTTTTTTTTCTTTCGTTTTTTTCGTCTTCCTCTCGGCCGGCCGGCTGGCTGGCTGAAGGTAGAGCCGGGGAATCCTATCCTGTCCAAAAGCGGCAGGACACTTAAAATGCCCAGTTCGCCGACTATCAAGGACCAAACTATCAAGAGCCAACTAGAATCTTTTTTAACCCTGCTCGTACTAGTATCCCGTTTCCGCTACCCGTAATCTCGACCTCCCGCTCCCGCGATCCCTTTCCACGTTTAAGATATCAAGGGCTTTCTATTCCCCACCAATATTCTTTGATGATAGTATATATATACCCTTACACCCTGAAAAGCCTTGGGTACCTACTAAATACAATCAACGCACTGGCTACCCAGTTATAGTCCATTATATACACGTCCAACACAGAGCAGAAACCAAGCACATAGGGTGACAAAGCGGCGTAGTTAATATCTAGACCTGAGACAAACTTAACAATAACGCTCCTCTATAATAACATAATCCATAATCCCGGGGCACATTAACATAAAAATTTTTTATATCATACAGGGAATATCATGACAGCTGCCTCGCGTTTCAAACAGCGAAATTACATGCGAAGCCTGTCTGTTTGATTGATCAAGTCTATCCATAATCCACCATATTTGCCTCGCCGCAGAACTGCGTGCTCCTGCGTCTGTTAGTACTACCTGCCTACCTACCTATAACACCATCCTGTAGGCTACTCCACCTGCGGCACGGGATATTTATTGTAACTGTTGTAAGCTCTACTGTAGGTACATATTGCCCATGACTCTATCTACCTTCTCTTTTAAAATCACGCCTCGGGCATATTCCCATTCTTATCCTAAATTGATATTCTGCAGCAGTTCTGTTTCTATTTCTGGTTATACCTATGCGAGCTGAATGGTCATGCTGCTTATTCTATCCTTTTAAGCGTGAGAGACCTAGAAGCTCTAATGAGAATCAGAAAATTCTAATACTTATGCACAACGCACAGATCTGCAGCGTAATGTCGACAATAGGACACCGTTCTAGGTAACGTATACGCATATCTGTCTCCTGAAATGTACACCTAGGTATGTACGAAGTATGTATATAGGTACGAAAGAAGAAGAAAAGAGGCCTTTTCTCCACCGACTGTCTCTTGATCGGAGACATATCATCGATTTTAGGCGTTTAGATAGATAGAAGCGTTCCAGCCATATCATTCGTCGAAGCTGACCGACAAGTGGGCTTACGCAAAACCCTACGATTGGACGACGACCGGCGACGGCTCTCTTATTCTTCAACATGGCGAGACACACCAACTCACCGTTACACCGATTATGAACCAGGGGCGTTCTCGTCAGCGGTCTATTCCCTGATATACATGTGTCATAATTTTTCCTATAGGGAAGGGTAGTGCCTATTCGTCGACCAAGATGGACTGCGGACTTCCAAGCCTACTAGCTCTGGAATCCACCCGAGTTGGCTTCCTCTGCATCATCACCCCCTGGTCAACGATAGCCGTCCTTACAGCGTAGAAGATCCGACGTAACCTACGGTCGACGGATACCTTCGTCGCAATGATCCAGGATGGTGCATATTGCTATCACTGACTAAGGTGACTCCTCTTCTTCATGCTGCCCAGAGTCATGCTTCCTAAACTACATCCTACAGCAGGCCGCTAGCAACATACATTCTGGTACTGCTTGATGCGTACAGTATAGGGAACTGTGTGGGTGGATTACCCTTGCCACTGCCTACAGCTTGAAGATCTAGAAAAGGACACGCACACACGCATGCTTCAACTGCAGAGATACGAAGCGGCTCAGGAAAGCAGCTTCGTTCATGTGGGACTTTCGATGCACCTAGGCCTAGTCGTTAACTCCCAATAGAGCCCAAATCTTGGGGATAACCCGCTTAGCTACGTGTAGTCCGGTCTGGGGAAGTTTTCCCATCGATTCCTACATCGGGGATCTGGGAGCTCACGCCATCAGTGAAGGGGGTGCAGGACCGCTAATCACTAGGGCCATCACATCGTTCCCGCTCATGCGTTGGCTCTTCCGGGCATATGTACCGGTAGTTCCGGTCGAACTTCAATGCATAGAGAGAAGGATATTACAACAACCCAGGAGCAAACATAGTAGCCCGCAGTAGTTGGAATACAGGCCTCTAGTCGAAAGACGTTCTTTTTTCATGTGCTACCAAGTTAGGCATACCTGTCAAATATCGATGAGGAGTAGGTAATGCGTCTCGTCAACAGCCACGTCTTCTTCATTCACATGTTCAAGAAGCATGTCGCCGTTTAGAGTGTGCGGGTGTGGATGCTATCATGCGCAGGTAGCCAGACTGCAAACATATTTGGCGTGTGGTCGGCATTGCTCACGATATCGACGCCCTCTAAAAGAGTGTTCTCAGCCAGAGTTTCTGGAAACGATCACCCACATCGCTCGAGGCTATTCATGCACATCACCATTACATTAAGAATATCCTAATCCGTAGCTTCTATGATGATCACTGAAGCAAGGGAGTTCTAGAAGCCGGATGGCCCAAAGGCTACTCAGAGTAACAATTTCTATTCCGATACCTACCTCGACGTGTCTCGTTCCACCTCGTGGTAGTTGTCCTAGAATTGAGGGGAGGACAGGGTCCTCCACCGCTAGTGTTGCCCGGTAGTTTGCTCGATTTACCTGATACGAGACCTGGTCTACACACGTTCCACGTCTAAAACTACCCTATCCAGTTTGTTCTAGCAGGCATGCGGAACTGACCACGTTTGCGGCGGTTGGTTGTCAGTTCACTTGCGGGCGATCTTGATCCTACGGATCCCGTCCCCCATTCGTTCCCTAACTCCACCTCCCAATGTCTTCTCCGTGAGGTTCAAGTGTTGTGACAGCTCCGCTCCGGGCGTGCCGGTAGTAGTTGTTATGGTAGCAATCTTGATAAATTCGATTCGTGTCTACCAATATCTAGGAGGTATCAAGATAGTATAGCATATACGCTATCTGATCCAGCTTAACCCCAAAAAGACGTAGATGCTTCCCAATAAGTAAGCACCTCTTAAGGTATATAAAGATGTAAACAGACACCATATTCTCGGGAAGCTTGCTTCGCTTTACTTAATAAGTGTATGTAGAGCAAAGGGAGCCCCGATAGATATTGGCCTTAGGTAGGTATATAACCCAGAATGGACTCACGCTCCTACGGCTTTGGAGCTTCTAGCGTAACGTGAGCTGAGCCTTATAGGCACTCCTGAGATATCCTAGAAAGTAGCTCTAATAAATACCTGCTAAGAGGTGATTTCTAATGCGATGAGTAACCCATGGGGTAGGGGAGGATGGCAAGATAGAAGTAAGATAAGCCCGGAAGTGGTTATAGCTCCGTGATGAGATATGTACAACTTTGTGGGGCAGGCTCCGGTGAAGGATGCTATAGAAGGGATGAGACAACTAGTATATGATAATATTTAGTTTAGACCCTTCAAGATGATTGTTCTCTTAATTATAGGTGACGTTCTTTATTACTGCGACTATGATCCCTAGCCCTGGCGTCCTAATCCATGAGGCTTAGTTGGTAACCTTTAACGACGTATAAGAACTCCTAGTACCCTGTAGCCCCTCACATTATCTTTAAATTCATCTCTTAGCTGAGGTTAGAGGAAGGGGAGAAGGCAGTCGCTGCTTTGCTTTGAAGGTGACTGCACGCATTGACTTATACTTGACTTATACTTTGGGTAGGCGATTGTGGTTATCTCACCCAACTGTGAAAGATTAGTACATCAAGGGATGAGTATGAGAACGATAGCAATGAATTAACATTCCGATCCACCGTGGCCTCATCGCTGGTTGGCCCAGAATTTTTCACCGGTGGTAGGGATTTTAATAGGACATGCCTTAACACAAGATGATAACTTTTTATTACAAGGGTATCCTTTATCCAGGCTAGACCAAGAAGATAACCAATTATAAGACTTCCAATCCAGGTTGCGATTAGGTTGCTCAGTCGGTTAACGGCAATGCCTTCACCTGGTTGAATACCATTTGGTGCAGACAGTACTAATTAGAAGAGTTAGGAAGATCAAGAATCTAACATATAAGATGGAGTTGAGCTATTCGCACCAATGCTAACACAAATCAAGGCTGACGTTGTGATATAAATATTACTGATGGTGGAATCTTGTCCAGTTTTTATAATGCCGAGTCCCTATTTAGAAGTTCTAAGCTAAGCTCTTGTCATAAACAACATCCAGCAAACGTAGCGCTTGCTCCTGAAAGTTAGCCGGCATCTATGGTATCAGGTCGTTCCTCTGTATACTCAGCCGTGACTAGACTAACCCTCTGTCTTAGTAAACGACTGCGTTTTGACATCATGCTAAAATAGCGCGATATATAAACTCCTTTCTAAACCCAGAGGCAAAACGAACCTGCTAAAACACAAGCCTCGCGATACAACAGCCGATATCACTACCGCTGCTTGGCGTACTTTGTATGCGAACCGTTCGCAATGACTGGGCCGGCTTCGCCATCGACAACCTTATAGATGACGACGCGAGTAAATGCCAGGGTGCCACCAACCTTGTCGGCTGTAGCAGTGATCTCAATCTCATCGCCCTCCGTGGCAGACGATAAATACGTGACGTGGATATCAACTGAGACGCCAGTACGGCGACGCAAATCCCATGTAGCGATTGCCATACCGCCAGCCCAATCAACGATAGCGGCAGAGACGGCACCGTGGATGCCACCGCCCGAATTGATATGGTTCCGGGTGAGTGTCAAACGCGCCGTCATTGTCCCTTTCGAGGCGGAACGGATTTGCACATTGGAAAGTAGGAAGTTGTAGATGGCTGAGTTGGGCAACTGCGCTGCGGTGAGCTGCTCGATATGGGATTTGATGACAGCTTCATCGTTGCTGGACTCCACTACTGATGACCCTTGCTCGACGGACCCCATGGCGCCAGGCGAACAGCGCACGTAAGCGGTTTAATGTCGCTGGTGATTTGGAGAGAGAGAAAGCGTTCGCTAAGTGTATATCAAGTTCTACCTTGATAAGTTTAGGCCTAATAACCTTCGGTGTAGTTGAGGTGAGCGATATTTTAAGTACGAAGGTTCAACCGAAGTGAGAAATTGTTGGGAAGTATGGTACTGACGGTCCGGTACAGAGAAAAGACAGCTGGCTGAAAGGGGAAACGACTGCGTACCAACTGCTTCACAGCGAAGGACTTCATCGCCACTTGGCATACATTCCGCATTTATTACATAGGTACCTAGGTTAGGTAAGTAAGCAAAGCTGATGAGATGAGAGAGGATTGGTAAAAGTAAAGAGGAGTTCGATCAATTAGATGATTTATCGTGACGGGAAAATAAGATAAAATAAATGATGACAGTACTAGATATTACAATCTTCTAATTGGATTATCTGATACTTAGATGTACTGATGTTAAGTGAATGGAATCTGACTTAGGTCATGCTAAGAAAGCTGTATTGTAAAGGGATAGTCTCATCGTCAATGAAGAGGATTGACGGACGAAGTAAACCGGATAGATGAATAAACACTCTAGCGTATAATTAAATAAATCATTCTGTTGGTGACTGCCTCTGCGTAAAGGACAAGTCTAACAAACAGGTACCTACCTAACCTAAGCCAACAATCGCTATTGATTATTGTTTTCTGATTCAAGAGTCAGAATTTAAACTCAACTATGTACCTTAGTAGGTATCTTAGTTATATACGCTAACTCAATATAAGTCTATTCTTCCCATCACATCGGAAAATATGTCAAGAGCTTGGCAAAATTGCATTCACGAAGCTTTGCAGCTAGAACCTTCGGCATACGCCAAAGAAGTTGGGTACAACTGGCCTACTCCTGATCGAAGGTTGGCTGCGACAACGAAGTCAGGTCGAAATCCGCTGGCTGTAAAAGGTCAGGAAGCTAGAGCATTGGAGAAACTGACAGAGGAATTTGCGAGCAAGCTGTCCGATGTATTCCCAGGCCCGTTGGTTCTACCCGACGATGAGTTGGCGAACAATCCTAAATATCCACCTCAGTCCTTCCGATCGTGGCTTAACGAACCGCTACGCAAGAACCGCAAACTTAACAAAAAGCGCAAGACGTTGTATATTGCAAACGCGCCTGAAATCACGCTAAGCGTGAATTATATGAAGAAATGGCTGGAACCAAAGGTTGAAAAGAGTCCAAGATCGGCTAGTGGAAAGTTAGAGCTGCCGTTAGATGATATCGTAGAGTATACGAGAGAATTTTACCATGGCTTGTCTGTTGAAGCATTTCCCATACAGTTGCAGTTCGTTCCGTGGACAGAGCCAAAGAAGTCGGCAGAACCAAGCAACGGGACTCGGTACGTTGGCCTTATCGCAGGTAATAACTGCACTCGCGTTCGCGCGAGGTCATCTCCAGATGGAATTTTTGGAGGACAGTTAAATCTTGAGGATCTTCTTGACGCCGCTATCGAGATGGTGCCTAAAGAAGCGTATTCTATCATTATACTCGTCAATCACGACATGTACGAGGACGAGGACGACGACTTCTGCTGCGGTAGGGCATATGGAAGCAACCGCGTGTCGGTAGTTTCTACTGCTCGATATCATCCCGCTCTAGATGGCCATGCCGGAATCGATTTCGCGCACATGTGGCCTGCCTCTCATTGCAAGTCCTATGTTGACGATATAAATACGGCAAAGGGTCTCCGACTACATCCTAGGATGAATAGTGAAGGGGAAACTATGCCTGGACCGTTATGGGTGGCCATGGAGACAGCAAGAAATCTTAGAGAACCCTTAACTCTGGAGGACCGAAAGGGTCTGTGGTTCTCCAGAATCGCAAGGACGGTAGTGCATGAGCTCGGTCACTGCCTTGGTTTGGACCATTGCGTTTATTATGCCTGTGTTATGCAGGGCTCTGCGCGGATAGCGGAAGATGTCCGACAACCCCCCTATCTATGCCCCGTATGCCTAAGCAAAATTTCCTACGCAGTTGCTTGTGAACTAGAAGGACGGGATGATGAAGGTAAGGGAGAATATATTAAGGAGAGATATAAGTTACTGGCGAGCTTCTGCGACTCGTGGAAACATGTTGGTATGTTTGCTGGATACGGAGCCTGGTTGCGTGCAAGGCTTGAAGACCTTGAACAACAAAGATAGTGAGGGTGGCCGATATTAGAAAGATGGGAAACACCCTGGAGATCATTAATATAGGTAGGTAGGTACCCACCTAGATATCTAGGACTAAGTATATTTCTTCACTAGAGTAAGTAGGTTTCTAAGGCAATTGTAGTACCTACAGCGAATTATGAATCATTTCTTGATGTAAGTTATAAAAGTAAATGCCTATACTCCTAACTAAGTACCTATAAGTTTGATAAATATATGAATCCATCCATTGTAAAGGACAATGACCCTGGGCGAAGAGTGACTTGCATGTCGTTTGATGAAAGAGAATGTTTTAGAACATATAATGTTAGTGTTGACCACCTAAATTGCTATATGGAAGTGCTTAGGAAGGCTTTAACTTGTAATGAGTATCTAGTACCTCGAAGCATGCCGCCGCATCAAATTGCTATTGGATCTATAATACATAGGCGGTCACATTGCAATTACTTATGAAAGCTTTACTATATAATATATTGATATTTGCTAAAATAACAAGTTATCAGATCTCTAGGACTTTGACCTTTGCTGTCTTATCGATATTTAAATGTGACTGAAAACAATCAGAAGATCATTGGCACAATGTTCTCGGAGCCTATTGCCGTTGGGCGGCTCTCGCCGCCGACGTTGCGTATTTTTCGTATATAAAACTTGCTGAATTGTGCCCTGTGGCAAATGCAATGAACTAATCAAAGCTTTCCATGTTGACAAAACATGGCGGTCTACATCCTTTTTGGGAGGCGCCTTGTAGAGGACACACATAAATAATTCGAAGAAAAGCAAGTAATATGCGATGCAAGACGCCGCTCACCTGGATTTGCCACTCCGTCCCCCATTTTTAGTAGGTATGCATTCTGTATGCATCGGAAGTGGAAGATTAAGTGACTGAGACATGAAGCTGCTCACCAAAATAAAGAGGGGACTCCTTGATTGCTACTCTACTATCACGGCAACTCAAATCGTGGTTTAACCTTTTGAGACCTTCGGGAAATATCTAACCTATTTATCATGGCTGGGAAAGACCAACTCAGTATTATCATAGTCGGGCCAGGACTTGTCGGATTGGATACGGCCAGTGTATTGCGGGAGAAGTGCCAGGTTGCTGTGTATGAGCGCGACAGCCCTTCAATCGCGGCCGGAGGTCAGGGAATCACGAACTTTCCCAATGCCATCAAGATTATGAACCAATTAGGCTATATGACCCAGAGCGGTCCGGTTCTGTTCCTAGTGAGAGATTTAGGACTCCAAACAAGCAGGGCAATATCATCTTTGATGTCTAAATCCCCTTTAAGGAAAAGTACGGCGCGCCGGCTGTGTGCCACATGCAGACTGATTTGAGAGCCGAGCTACTGCGCCTAGCTACGGCTTCGTCTAAGGATTTGGGTATCGGTGGCCAGCTTGCTAAGGTGGTACTCGACAACGGTGCCTAAGACTTTGACTTTGAAGCCGGTGAGATTATTCTAGACGATGGTACACAAAAGCCAAGGCCGATGCCATCACTGGTATGTGTTCTGCTCGAATACTGCATAATTGCCTGACAAGACTTCAGTTGCGGATGGTATTCATTCTCGCCTGCGGCCCTTGATTGCCGGCGCAGACTACCTTCAGCCTAGGAATGGATTGACGTGTTCTCGAGTGGCTATCTCTGCTAACCAAGCCATCGAGGCTCTTGGGTATGGGAACTTCAGGACATGGAGCCCCTCGATAGATGGACTGCGGGTTGCGCTATCCTCGTTGGCGATGCGGCTCACGCAATGATACTGATGCAAGGCTAAGGTGCCAACAGTAGCATTGAGGACGCAGAAGCATTCCGGCTCTTGATCGAGCCCGGGGTAACTCGCGATGATGTCCCTGAAATCCTTAAGTAGATAGAGAAGTATAGACTACCTCGTGCCGCAGCCATCCTTAAGAATAGGAGAAAGACGAGCCGCGGGGTCAGCGGGGGAGAGATGCGGATTAATCGTGGGCCTTTAGTAGGTAGGCGATGTTACGTAGGTAGGTACGGTACTTATACCTAGGTGGGTACATACCTAGGTACCTAGGTACATAGGTACATAGGTACATATGTAACCTACCTAGGTACCTAGGTATTTACCTCCTATTTTCCCCTAAATGGCGAACTCCACCATAATGCCTGCCAGTTACACAGATTAGTTTGTATCACGTGACCGTTTTCATGTTACACAACTGGTATCGAATCAGAGCGTTGAACAAAAGATTTGTCATTTGTCATTTGTCACGAAGCTTACCGTCCGAGTTGTTCACTAATCAACAATCATAGCCTCGGACTTCAGTCACTCGTACAAGCCATCCAGTAATTTTTCTTAGGTTCTACAAGCGATCTGGGTACTTGCGCAATCGTTTAACGAAATATCCGGGGAAAAGGTGGGCTGGATTAAGGCTTAATTGAATTTCTACTGTTATTACACCGTTAGCCCCCGGACCCGGTACGGAACACTTAGGAGGCTTTCCGGCTTCTATATCGGTACACAGCATGGGGCTTATGATCCTATCGAATTGTTCTCATGTCCTCAATACCCCAATCAAACACCAACATTCAGTCGAATTCTGTTGGTGACAATCTGCAGGACTATGAAGGACAACTGAGCCAACCCGGCCAGTCCGGTCAATTTTTTCCAAGTCAAAATAACATAGCATTGCAGCCCCTCTTGGCAACATCACTACCACCCTTCCGAGCCAATGCCTATACCTATGCGCCTTCATCTTTGATAGACCCTATAAATAGCGTGGATAGCGACTCCAGTCGGTCTACTGATAAGTCATTGATACGGGACGTTTCCTGGGATAGCGGGGCACAATCCTTTTCCCAGATAAAAAACACGAACCTTCAATCAGCTACTGCTGAGACGGTGGTATCATTTCCGGAAGAACCACCAATGCGGTGCCTTCACTCCAACTCGGATGTGCTTAGCGCCGAGCAATATGATGGTGGGCGGTATCCTAGACAGTTCGCTTCTAAAGTCAATCAGGAGTCAAATACTACCGTCGTTCCTGCGAACAGTGCTTCTAACCCTAGAAAGAGGGGAAGAAAGTCAGCTGACCGTGAGCTAGATGGTCCGGCGGAGGAGACGAAGCGGTCTAGAGGTCGCCCGCGTCTTGAAACGAAGGACCAAACTCCCGGCGAGGTCAGTGAATGCTTCCAATTTCTCTCCCTTGCACCAATTTTCGTAGAGTTCCCCTCCACGCCTAAATCAGTATACTGCTTTGCTCTTGAAGATTTATAGTGTCGTAGAACCCTTCTTGATGTGAAGATGTATACTTACATGTGACCTAGCGGCGACGGACACAAATTCGACTTGCGCAGCGGGCGTATCGTAATAGAAAAGAAAATGCCATCACAGACCTTCAAGCTAAGATAGACGACCTTAAGAATGTGAACAGCGAAATCAATAATGCATATCAAGACTTGTTTAACTATGCCTCTCAGCGTGGACTCCTGGCTCAGGCGCCCGAATTTGGCCAGCAACTCCAAAAGCTCCAGACGCTCATCAAACAGACTCAAGAACAGGAAAACTCTCCAGTCAATGAGCATAATAGTCCAGAAGGACACTCCGATGATGGTCAGGGAGACGTACAGAATCCTGAAGACCTTGTTACCAATGAAGAGCCTGTATCTACGCTACCGAATGATCAGACGCCAGATCTATTGGGTGGTATTGCGGTTTCACATGAGCCCGTGGTCCAACCGGAATTTGATGCAACATTTGGCTTGGACCCTGTGTCAAATGATGTTCATGCGCACAACTATGAAGTTATCACGGCGCCGACTTTCGAAAACGCTAGCTTTGGTCTAACCGTGCCTGTCGACACAACTTTTTTAGACTCGACGCATTCCTCCTGGGCACGTCATCCGTGGAATAGGCTCACTGGCCCACACACCATGTCTTTTAATGAGTGGTCGTTCGCTCGAAGGTTGCACCGTCACACGGTTGAAAGGGCTGCAGCTCTTATCTCAATGCCTAACCCACCTCCGGCTAACTTGACGCGCGTTTTTGGGTTTGTCATGTTATTCGAAACCGTGGATGAGATTAGATCGCGGACGGTGGCTACGCTCGACAGGAATAAGAACGAGCCTTTGAACTATTGGAAGTACCCCTTCCATAGGCTCGGCGGCTCCGGTACTCACTTCCCTGATCAGGCGGGACCATGCAGTCTTTCGGGCTCGTCCACCTACCAGAGCTCAGGATTCGGGACAGGACCCTTCAATGAGCGGACAACGAGGGTAAACGACACCCTACTAGAGGCCTCCCAGTACATCAATATGAGCGGCTGGGAGGGCACATGGTTCGACTCGGACGAAGTGGAGACTTATCTTGCACAGAACGGAGTGATTATCCCGACGGCGGCTGATATACACACAGTCTATATCCATCCAGGGGCGTTTTCTGACGTACAGGTCCAATCTCATAGTCAGCATATGCAAGATATTCACCCGAATGCAATGCATATACCGCACATAGACGCATCATTCACTTTGGGAATACCTGCTACTGCTTCGTCTACGATAGGAGATCCTTCCCTCTCGACTGGGTCTGATACTACCACCGCCACCAGTACAGTTCCCCCGTTAGTGCCAGGCAACTCTTGGCAGTCTATTCCCGCCTCCTCGAACTTCTACGGTGGTGCACAGCATACAGAGCAACTCACCCCGCCTTTTACCGGCTTTGACGACGTGACGGTCAATACATTTGCTGATTCCTCGTCGTACTATTTTCCGCATCACGAAATCGGGGTACCAAACCCCGTAGTAACACCGAGGAGAGTCGTTCTGGATGTGAATCAATTTATTTCAGGTGAGAAAATATGTACCCTTTTGACAATATTGATGGCGAGGACTGATTTTCTTGTGCCCAGGATTGATTTCATCTGCCACTTGTCTTGGACGAGCTCCTTCTTTTAGACCTAAAGACATCGTGAGCTCGTTCTGGAATGCTGTGATTGGTTAGATTTATACATATATGATACGGTACCCAAAGTTGGTGTTAAATGAAGTAGAATCAGTGCGGTTGGTTTGAATATAATTTTGGGTGGCGTTGGAGTTTGCGTTATATGAATCTCTTTACTCAACATGGGACACAGAGTGCTATTAGTTATTATGTGTAAATAATAGGGAAGGGGTATGTGTGTCTATATAGGGGAGACCATCACTTATATAGGTTGGGTACTTGGGCGTATTTTATATTTCACGTGGTGAGATGGCCGTCCGGGATATTAGCTAGACACTCGAGCTATCTTCTCCATCCAGATTTGGGAAGAGCTCCTTCCACATTGCGCCGTGCAATTCTTGCATCTTGGACTCCCACTGCTTCCTCCTGTTAGCATCCCTCTCCGCCTTTTCCTGCTTAGCTAGTTTCTCTTCTTCTACAATCAACCTACGCATGGCGTCTGCCCGCGCGACCTGCTCCTCCCGTTCGCGATTTAGCACATTTTGCGCGTATATGATGCCCTGAATGTAGACTGTCTGCCGGAATGTCTCATTCCGGAATTCGCCCCGTGCAGCATCTGCTTCGATAGATCTTATATTCAAACGAGTATCATTATCTCGTCTATTACCCTCATCCCGCTCTCCCCTTTCTCGCGCTGATCTCTGCTCAAGCAACATTGCACCCATCATCCATTCCCAGTTGTCCTCGAGCTCTGCGGCGGGTATGTCATTCTCATATAACGATTGTACGTTCTCTAAGCGCTGGACGCGCTTGCGGATCCTGTGTCTCAGGATATGGCTCAGATACATCGGCTGGGGCTTCTTGGTACGTAGGAATGGGATATCCGACGCTAGATCTATATGCGGTATGCGCCGCCGTCCGGAGCCGCCGAGTTCGGATGCGGGCCGCGGCCGTGATGGGATTGCGAATACAGGTTTCGGGTTAGGGTTCTGGGGTGTAGGCGCAGGCGTTACGTTTACGAGGAGAGGTTCTGCACTTGGCCACGGGCCAGAGGACGGTTTGGGTGGAGTGCGGCTGTAGGGGGGGTGTATGGCTTTTGCAGCAAGAGAGCGGCTGCGCTCGTCATGACGATCACGGAGGAATGATAATATAGAGGTGTGGTCAGCGTTGGGGCTCTCGAGGGAAGACGAGGTGGCGGATTGGAGGAGGCCGAGGATCTGGTACCCCGCCTTAAGGGCAGGATACACAAGGCGAGGGCTAGTGACGGAGGTGTTTCGGCGGAAGGCTCGTCGGATTAGGTGCTTGATTGGGCTGACGGGACCCCGGGAAGTGGCTAGGTCATCGGGGAGAGGGATGAGCGGGGCTTGTCGTAGGAGTGCGCGGTAGAGAGCGAAGCCTAGGTTTTTGTTAATTCGTCATGTTAGTCCAGTCCAACGATATTATTTTGGATAGGAAGAGATTGAATTTACATGCTATCCGATGCCTGGAGTTGCGGGCTGGTATGAAGTGTTGTGGCATATGGACATGGAGGCTCCCAAGTTTCGGCCACCTCTGTTCTGTATTTCAACCAATTCCGGGTTCACGGGGAGAGATTCTAACTTTGCGATCCAAGTTTTAAAAGTTTCGATAAAGTGGCGGAATCATTTCCGCCCTGCTTTAGCTGCGCGTGGTCACGTGTGTTTAAATGTTAAATGTTTAAATGTTTAAATGTTTAAATCAGCATCGAGAAGTACATGCATCTATGTACTTGTACATAAACGGCAGGGGTTTTCTTTAGTGATTTAACTTTTTATTTCATGCTATTGCTCTGGCTAATTCCCAAAGGTCCCTTTGAATCGACGTCTCCTGCATTAGAACCGATAGTACCGATAGTAGCTACAAAGTCATATTGCGTCTTCAGGGGTAATAGGAACTCATGACGTCCACTCCCTTTCGTGAATAATGTGCTAAAGAGTAAAAAGCCAAGGCGTATCAAGTTGATGTGGAATATCGGTGTACCACGTGTTGGGATTATGCATAATACCATCCTAATTGCCGGAGTATACTGATCCCTCGGGCGGCTGAGGGAGCTTCTTGCACGGGCCGGACGCCATGTATCTATGATTCAATGATAGTCAGAAATCCGTTGGAATCTAACTTGATTTGATGCTGTTCTGAAAGAGTTTTGTTGAACTAACCTCCGGAGCTCGATCAGGATAGTCTCCATGGTGTTCTCCCTCTTCCAATGGGCCAAACAAGGCAACTGGCTTGGGTCTACCACTCCATTCTTTTGGTTGACACAGGGTAGATTGACTTGACTGACAAACTGAATCGTGGGAGGCTTGTCGGGATACTGATCGCCGCAGTGCATCTTGACGGAGTAGATTCGGTTCTCATGTACGCTCTGTAGTCGAACCTATTAGCTTGAAGTTCCTCGCGAGCGAACGAACGATTCGCCGGAGTTGTAACTGACGTGGGGAGGTCCAAGAATGGTACCGTTCCAATCAGACATCAGTAGATCTTCGGGATTATCTAAACCATAGGAGCAAGCTTCTGTTATAGATGTCACATATCACACGTTAGCGGAGGCCTACAAGGCGCGAAAGGGCAGTTTGGCGGGGGCAGAGTATGTATATACCAGCTCCTAAGCCCTTCTCTCCCTTTTCCAGCTCCTCCAGAAGGCGGAAATTTCGGGGGACTTTAGCCATATTTGACGTAGACGCTGTATTTCAGAAGAAAAAGGCGTAGTCGAATGGGCTAGATAGGTATCTTGATAGGCCACCTGGACCTAGGTTATGCTGTTCAAAAGTTGAAAACGTAGTTGACTATGTGAGAAGAAGAGCACGAAGCCTTATGCCGATGATAAAGATGGAATCTTATGAATGATGCGGGATGGTGGGGTTTTTGTCGGGCGCTATGTACTACGTATACATTGGTACATGTACCTAATGCATGGACCTGCAAGCTGCTTCACGGGTTCTTTTACATCTGGGATTAACAGCCATGCTTCAGACTGCAGTACATAGGGACATGGCTGAAACCTGTGGCGCAGCTTCTTAGTCACATATACCTGGTAATTTCCCGGTATCCCGGTAGGGTAGTTACGACGAATCTGGCAGGAACCCTGAAGCTCAGCAGTGAAAATTAAACTTCAACTTAAACAGACCTAAACTTTTATTCCTTGTTCAATGCCCAATGGAATTCAGCACCTTATAAGCGCCTCACTTCTAGACTTGAGATTTGAGTAGTTTTCGTCAGATGGATTCTACTCAACCTGATTGGCCAAGATGACCACCCAGCTCCTCTCTACGGAGTTAACTAATCTCATACAAGAGAGCAAACGAAAGCATAATGATCTTAGACAGGCATGTCTTCGCCCAAACTCCACTTATAACTTGAGATAATAGACTTTCAGGTGTCCTTCTCGGCATTTTAGGGGTTTACTGACTCATTGTTTAGGCAGCTGAGAAGTCATTGGAAGAGCTGAAGGGAATTCGTGCCGCAAATGAAGTCCAACTAGCTGCTGGTATGTCTTCGTTTAAAACATGCCCCTGCGTTAGAAAATAGGTACTCATGGTAAAATTAGAATTATCCCAAAAGGTCAACTTCGTCAACCCATTCGTCATCGCATGCGGGACAAGAAATGCCAAATTCACCGGGATAGCCATTGTCTGCTTATCACGGCTTATTCTTGCTACTGCGCTCCCGCGATCCAAGTTGAGTCCCGTCTTGGAAGCCTTGCGAGAGGCTACTTCTGCTGGTCTTGATGTGCAACTTAAGATTCTGCAAGCTCTGCCTAGTTTACTCCAGAACTATTCGAAAGAGATCCAAGGTGATCTGTTAGTCACTGCATTGAACATCTGCTTCATTTTGCAGACAACTAAAAATGGAATTGTCAACAACACTGCCGCCGCTACACTCCAACAGCTTGTTATGACCGTATTTGAAAAGGTGTCGGTTGAAGACAGTAAGTTTGATGTCTTCGACTTAATTGTAAAAGCTGACTTGATCCAGAATCAGTATCCGATGGAAGTTTTGTTGGCGATGCCCCTACCGGGAATGGCGATGTTCAACTTCGGGCCGCGTCTATGGATGCCTACCGTATTTTCAGGGATATATGCCTGATGACGGAGAACGAGCGACCAGAATACCTTCGATTTACCGGACTTCCCCAGACATTTGGCCTGGAGTTGATAGAATCAGTTTTGAGCCAGCACGCTGCTATTTTTGTTGAGTCGCGTCATCCGGAGCAAACACATATACTTCGCACAAGGGTGATGTCTTTCGTCATCAAGACGATATCCGGGAAACCAAACTTTGCGACTTCAGTTCGGCTTATACGTATTCTATACACGCTATTACGGAAGCATTTAGATATTCTACTATCAGAGGGTGGCGAAGCTCTTGACACCCTAACTCAGTTGTTAGATCAGGATACAGTTACTTGGAGGAGAGCACTATGCATGGAGGTCTTCCGCGGTATATTCTCCGAGCCTCCCCTTCTTAGACGTATTTTCGCGTTTTACGACTCTAAGGAAGGAGAGAAAGATATTCTCAAAAATTTGACCGCTACATTCGTCAGAGTTAGCACAGAGAAACCAGTGGTTATCGGCTTAGGCCATCAATCTACCATTCCTGTAGCCAATCCGTATGCCAATCTAGGGGGCTCGTCGGATCAAGCAATGCTGGAGGCCAGCGGGGTCACTGGAATTATTAGCGGATCTGTTGGCGAAGGCCATAACACTGGGATTAGCTCTCAATGGAGTACGGTTAGAGTTGCCTGCATCGACCAGCTAGATAAGACTGAACCGCCCGCGATCCCTGAGTCATACATATATGCGTTGACTTTATCTTGCATTACTTCATTGTCTGAGGGACTAGCTAAGTTGATCTTGCCGCTCACAGTTCCTCCCGACAATCGAGTTCGCAAACGCAGTGCAAAGCAGCAAGAGATGGGGAGAGAATCGCCAGGTCCAAATGAAGACGATAATGGCACCCCAAATAAAATGGTAGAAAGAACTGCTACGATGAATTCTATTGAGAGACCTGGATCATTCAAGAAGAATCCAGTGCCTCTCAACCCCCTAGCTGTTAAGGACCACCCCTTACATAACGATGTTAAGATATGTGCGGCCATTATCGATGAATGTTGGCCAGCAATCCTCGCAACGTGTTCTACCTTTTTATATGCCGCGCTCGATTCGGAATACTATCACGGTCTCGTCCGAGCCTTCCAAAAATTCGCCCATGTTGCGGGATTACTTCATCTCGCAACTCCAAGAGACGCTTTCCTCACAACGCTTGGTAAAGCAGCCGTCCCGCCAAATGTATTCAGTGCTTGCCTTAATACTAGCCCTTCTAAATCTGCTACTGTTAGCCCCGCCGTAGAAGGCCCGAATAGTATTTTGGGTAATGCTAGAGGCCTTTTGAGTGTTGATAGTCTAGTAACCCCGGTGGGTGCCGCTGGTGAAAGACAAAGGCAAGCATCTATGGACGCCAACACTATACCACAGACGCTGAATACTCGGAACCTCCTATGTTTGCGTGCGCTCTTAAATCTGGGGATAGCTTTAGGACCTACATTAAGCTCTTCATGGTCGATTGTCTTGGAAACGCTGCAGCAGGCCGATCTTGTTCTGTTCACAACTGGGAAATCCCCCGGCAGAACTCCAATCGCCGGAAAGGGTCCGGACCCAAGAGCAGAGAGCGAAGCTGCCTCGCTCCTAGCTAACTTTAGTATGGAAATAAGGGCTGTTGAAACGGCAGCATCTAGACTCTTTGAAAGCACAGTTGATTTTCCTAACGTTGCTTTTGTAGAAGTTGTTAACGCAATCTGTAGTCTCTTAGACCAACAGCCTGACCCAGGTTCGGAACCGTCGAGCCGACCACAGTCGTCGCCCTCGTCGCCCCCATTGCCCGGTCTCCGTACCCCTACTGGACCACACCGGAGACTTGTTGGCGGATTTGGGACAGTATCCACAGGGCCCAGCCAAGAGGATCAATTTGCTCTCACAAAGATCAGTGAGGTTGCGGCTATTAATATTGAGAGACTCCTTAGCTATCCTCCTGACGTCTCGGGTTGGGCACGAATCACGTCTGAACTTATCAAGACGCTGGGTTCCGCCCCTACGGCCGCAAAGATTCGTACTCGTGCCGCAGAGATACTCGTTCAACTTGTATTAGAAGCCGCTAGAGCTGCCGTCAGTCTCGATGATGAGACACGTAGTAGAGTTCAGCTTCGTCTACTGGAAGCGCTTCGCGATTCTTTATTACCATTACAAATGGAAGACCGTGCTACTTCTGTTACCACCCATTCGACAGATGTTGACATCCATAAGATCCTTCTTGAAGGTCTCAAAAGCTTACTTGATGATTGTGGTGATGCACTTTTAAGTGGTTGGGAAATCACGTTTGAGGTTATTGGCAGCATCTTCATTCAGAGGAGGTTTGCTAACGAGAGCACACGAGACGTCGAAAATCAATCCCTCATCTTATTGACACGATCCGGAAAACTTATTAGGTCCGCATTCAATTCTTTACAGTTGATCTGTTCTGATTTTCTTGGGTCATTGCCCAAGTCATGCTTTCTGATTCTCGTTGATACCCTGTATAAATTTTGTTCACAGGATGACGATTTGAATATCGCGTTAACGGTAAGTCGTGGATTGGTCTTTTTATTTATTTAACGTACTAATACCTATCTCTATCAGACTGTTACTTTCTTCTGGGTGCTTTCCGATTTTCTTTCGGGGAGGAGTCGGTCGCTTCCTATCACTGATAGTCTTATTGATGATCCTAATGGTGTGTCATTGGTCGAAAAGGCCTCAAATGCAGAAGATGCATCGTCTGATTCAGCTTTATGGATGCTCCTCCTACTGAGGCTGACCACTGTAACCACTGACGAGAGACTTGACTTAAGAAACAGTAAGTCTCCTGAGATTATATTCTGCTACCACGCTAATAACGCATCAAGGTGCTATCCAAACATTACTACGGATTTTTGATGCGTACGGAGATAGGCTTAGCCCAGAGGCATGGTCTGTCTGTATCAAATCTGTTATTTTCAAGCTTCTTTCGTCTATAGAGGAAGAAGTTGAAAATGCTGGAAGACCGGAAATTGATGAGAAAATCCGCCATGACTGGTATGACACGGCCGTCGTTGTGCTCAACGGCATATCTGGCCTCCTTGCCAATTACCTTGATGTGTTAACTATTCATCCCACATTCAACTCCTATTGGCAACAACTCCTAGGGCATTTTGCTTCTTTACTTGACTTCCAAGTTTTGGAAATAAGCACGGCAACATTCAAAGCGCTGACCCAGATGCTCTCGCAAAGCCAGAATGGCGCAAAACAGAATTTCAACAAGACTACAATTGATCTAGCCTGGGATTTATGGTCCCGGGGTGTCCCTGTTTCAAAGAACGGCAACATAGGGAGGATCACAGATAATCAAAATTGTCTTCTTGCCTATGTCGCGGCTCTCCGCGATGTTTATCGTCTCATACAAGCTGATCTTACCGTTGACCGTATTCGCCGAATGCTGATACTGTTACGAGAAGTTATGCAAGTCGCTACTCCTGGGACATATGTGGCGGATATTGAACACCTTACACCCCTACAGGGGCAGGTACTGGATGTGATCAAAATGCTTAGGACCGACTTGCGAGGGGCGCCAACCGCTCTGATATCTCAGACATCTGAATTTATCTCGCTGGCTTTCTTCGAAGAACATGACATGTCAATTCAACGGAATTCGCAGAAGCGCACTTACGTTGCTATGTCTAAAGCCAGCATGTCGATTCTCCAATCTCTCATTGTGAATCATGCTGCCGACGTAAATATCTACAACGATGGTGCATTCCTGACTGCGCTAACGGCTTTGTCGCGGCCAATTGTGCTTAAGTACCAATTCCCTATTATCACGAAAGCAGAGCAGCCGTGGAAACAATCAACAACATCCGCTTTGGCCATTCTCGAGGCTACGCTCCCGCAGCTTCAGAAACTCGAAATTTCACGGTCGAATCTACAAGATATTTGGGAAATGATTGTTACCATTGCGAACGGAATTATTAGTGCAGACTGTGATGCACCACCAGACCGGGTCAATATCGCAGAAGATCAGAACATCGATATATCCTCGTTCTTGAAACTCCGTGAGCTTATCATCCCCTCCTTAGGTGCGGAGGTAGTAGCGGATAAGACAAGGAAGGTGTTCGCAGAAAACCTATTTCGAATGTCTATTATCCATACACCGGCCCCGGCAGAATCTTCTCTCATATATGGGAATAGTGAAGGTGATGTAGTTGGCTTGTTGAGCCTATATAAGCCACGGAGTGGTCGCACCGTGGATCCGCCCCCAGCCAAGCGTGAGAAGATGTGTTACGTTTGCCTCGACGAGTTGTTTGCATTAGTAACAAGCCACAACGAAACATCAACGCCTCATATTACAGTCCAACCGCCGACCCCAGCTTTCCCGCCACCCAGCTTACCATCAGCAGCAGGTAACATGACGCTCGAATCTCCACATGCTCTGTATGTGCGGTTAGCACAAACGGCAGCGCCGTATCTTATCCTGAGGGCCGCTCTTACGCTAAGAGCCTATATCGCAGACCAACCGCTGCGTGGGCATATGCCGCAGCCATTGAGCCAACGTAAGGAGCTTACGCGGGTGCTAGAAAGACTAGTCGAGCTTAAGAGCGAACCAGAAGCCATCCCGGATACACCCAATGCTGAGAGCGAGAATCGTAAACATCTACTTAGGCTCTACCCGTTACTAGTTAGTGCGACTAAAGTCACAGGGGCTAGTGGGGATGAGAGTGTATTAATGCTACTGACGAAAGCATTAGAGGTCGTTGGGTCCGAACTGGGGATTTGAGGTTGATACTTTCTAGTAGGCTGATAATTACCTGGTAGGCACCTTAGTGGACTAGCTGTTGTACATAAGTGTATCAGTTACTTAGCTGGCTGGACTTGATTTACTGTCGTCGTAGGACTAAATAAACATCGATTAATTCCAATTAGATTCTTAAATATGTAGTGGGAACATAATAAGGAAGATGTAATCCATTCGTCTTAATTTTAGGGTAGATTTATATTCATCTCCATATTCCTAGGCAGGTAGTTTACCGAGACACTGGATATACTACCATCTCCTAGGCCTTCGGTTTGCCTCTTAAGGGGCTGTGAGTTGCGTGTGATAATGTCCTGGGAAGTTACAATCGGTGTATATAAGATGGGTTAGATGGATAAGGGGGATATAGAGTATGTTAGTGATAGAGGTTAAAGGGATGATGGGATTGTGTATGTTCCCCTCAATGCTCGCCGACGCCATGCCCTGCCCTTTTCATTAATTTTTTTTCACCACTACCGAATAGTCCCCGTCCACACTTTTCAAATACCAATTGAAGGTACAAGAGATGCTTCCTGGTGGTACAGTTGAGCTTTTTACCAGCCCAATTTAAAAAAATTTCATGCCCCTTCTCCTTTACCTGCAGGTGCCTTCCCTCGTTGTCCCCGTAATTCATAATAATGTACCTGCTCCTCAAAATAGGATCTTACAGAATTGCTTCTTTACTTTCTCTTAGCTGTATTATCGAACTCGCGCACCATCGAGTCCACGACACTCCGGCTAGTTTTAGGACCGGTTGATTCCTCTGGAGTCGATTCGTCTTTCTCCGCTAACTGCTTAGCCATGGTGCGGCTCTGGGCCTCGCCTACCTTGCCGTACACACTGAGACCGGTAGCAATCATACCACTGATATCGCCCACGTTGCCCGGAACTACGATGGCAGTACTCTCACGTGCTAGCTTGCTGAAGGCGTCGACGTATTTCTCGGCCACGTTTAAGCTGACAGCACCCTGGGCTGAAGAGCCGCCGCTACTAATACTGCGGGCTATAGCATCGATTCCGGACGCGGTGGCTTTAGCCTTCATAAGAATAGCTTCGGCCTCACCAGAGGCGCGGTTGATCTGCTCAGAACGCAAGGCTTCGGATGCCAGAATGACACTCTGCTTCTTACCCTCGGCAATATTGATGGCACTTTGGCGCTGACCCTCAGACTCCAAGATCTCAGCACGCTTGGATCGCTCGGCTGTAACCTGCCTATGCATAGCTTCGACAACGGCGGCCGGGGCGTGGATATCGCGAATCTCGTAACGCAGGCAGGTGACGCCCCAGGCTTGCGCTGCTTCGTTGATGGCTGCGGTTATATTGATGTTGAGAGCGGCGCGTTCTTTCAATACGTGGTCGAGAGTCAGTTGACCGATCTCGCTGCGCATTGTGGTCTGGGCGAGTTGGGAAATGGCGTACTCGGCATCTTCTACACCGTAACTAGAGGGGCAGCATATTAGTAAAGTGGCTTGGTTGAAGGAAAATATGTGGGAATACATGGTGAAATAGAACGGTCTATGTAAGATTTTAGACATACCTGGCCTTATATGCGTCGAATACGCGAGTATAAAGTACACCGTCCAGCTCCAAAGTTACGTTGTCGGCCGTGATAGCACTCTGGCTAGGTATTTCGATGGCCACCTCTTTCAGGCTCTTGACGTAGGCGATTCGGTCGAGAAAAGGAACGAGGATTGCAAGACCGGGCTCGAGAATACGGTTGAACTTTCCCATGCGCTCGACAATCCATGCTGTCTGCTGGGGCACGAAGCGTATGATGGTGTTGGCGGGGAGGGAGGGGCGTTGGAAGTAAGAGGGCGGGATGGTTCCGAGGCCTGTTATTCCGGGTTGTGATGGTGCTGGCGATTTTGTGGTGTTGTGGAAGGTTCTCAGGGCGCCCAATGTCAAGGTCGGGGTCAGCAAAGCTCGAGATGTCGGGTAGGTGGTGCCTCTCCGCAAGGTGGACGAGACGATCTTCTCAGCTCTAGTCAGCGACATCATCATTGAACGCTGCCACATACACAAATTCCTGTCTTCTTATAGTTGTAAACTACTATTATTGGAATGTGTTGTGTGTTGGTGGTAGAATGGTAACAGGCTAGCTGTTAGAGGCTGAGAACCACGTCACGGATCGTGCGCTGGGGTTGGATAGAACTAGAAGCTCGAAAATGCGAATCGTGACATTTTTTGAGAAGCTCCCATTAATTCGAGTATTAATTAATGGCTCGAACCTCGGAATCCGGAGTTTGCCTCGAGCTCGGACCAGATACATTGTTATGTAATCCGCACGGTATAGTTGCATTAGGTACGGAATAGTGGTCCTTTAATTTACACAAATATCGGAATACAGAATATGCTTGTAAGGAATGCAACTGCGGTGTATGTACTGACATCCCTTCCTCGACCCTGTTTAACAAAGCACGGAAAGTATCAAGAAGGTTATCATATCATAATCAATGCCAGCACCAGTAAATAAGATCACTACAATGACGACTAGACTTTAACTCTATGACATGGATATTTCGCCTAGTTAGCGCAATATATGTTGAGAATCACGCAGTCGATGTCGCCAGAGTCGATTTGGAAGGTAGAATTGCATCCCAAGATGTTCGCAGCTTGGCGATTTCTCCAAAATGAAGCAAACGCCTACACCACCCCCCAATTATTTATATTCGCACCAATTGCGAATCTTTGAAAGAGAAGAGTTCATGTGCCAATGCTGCCGCGTAGTGCTGAACTCGCCGTCAGGGATCACATCACCTTATCATTCACCGTAAGCAAGCCAAGCCCCTGACGGTATTATACATATAAAGGTATAAAGGTAACCTAGGTACTTTACAAGATTTCTCTTTTCGCTTCACAAGTTCTTGATTTGCTGCTTCTTCCTTCGCAATGAGGCTTTCTCTCTTAGCTCCGATTCTAGCTTCGCTTGTTGCAAGCGTTCCAACAGCTCCCAGGAGTGATGTCGTATCCTACGATGGATACAAAGTCGTGCGGATAAACACGCATGGGCACCCATCGGCTACAAAAGAGAAACTCTCGGGAATAAGTTACGAACAGTGGAACCGTGATGTCTACAAGCACCTAGATATTATCATTTCACCTGATCAGGTTGCCACGTTCGAAGCACTTAACCTTGACTACCAAGTTATGCACGAGAACCTGGAAGACTCAATTGCATCAGAGTCCATTTCGAAGTCGGTCTGGAGAAGACAGACTGGTGATCTTTCGTGGTATGATTCGTACCACGACTATCAGGATCATATCCAATATTTCGAGGATTTGCAAAAGTCATTCCCAAACAACTCAGAGCTCATTTCATCTGGCACCTCTTATGAGGGGAGAAATCTATACGGTCTCCATCTATGGGGCGCGAGTGGACCCGGCAAACCGGCAGTACTTTACCATGGAAATGTGCATGCCAGAGAATGGATTACATCGCCGGTAAGTCTCAGTATTGTGTTGATATAGGTAACATGAAGCTTATTTTTATTTTATTTTTTAGGTCGTCGAGTACATAACTCTCCAGCTAGTTAAAGGCTACAATGACGGCGACAATCTCACTCGTTCATTTTTGGATAAGTACGACTTCTACATCATACCAATTGTGAACCCGGACGGTGAGTATTGTATAGTCCTCACCTCGTAAGGGACGACTAACTGACAAGCCGAAGGTTTTACGTATTCTCAAACAACTGATCGCTTGTGGCGCAAGAATCGCCAACCGCCACCTGGGAACCAATCTTGTATTGGTCGGGATATTAACCGCAATTGGGGATTTGCATGGGATGCGAACCCATTAGGCGCCTCTACAAACCCATGCTCGCAGACCTATAAGGGCGAGGCACCTTCTGACACACCGGAGAACCAGGGTTTAGATAAGTTGGTACGTCAGTTACGCGATGACGCGGGCATCAAGCTATACATAGACTGGCATAGTTATGGACAGTATATTCTATCGCCATTTGGGTACAAGGAGACATTATACGCGCCCGAGCTTGGCAAATGGACCAAGGCAGCTGGCATCGTCAGTGAAACAATTCGGGATAGTTCAGACGCGGGAACGACGTTTACTTTCGGGCCCAGCGGAGCCACTCTGTATCCAACGACAGGTTCGGCGCCTGACCATATTTATAGCATTGGCCGTGCTGAGTTCTCTTATACCATTGAACTCCGGGACACGGGCAAGTTGGGTTTCGTATTGCCTCCTGAGCAAATTAGGCCTACCGCCGAGGAACAGTGGGAGGGACAAAAGGCTTTGCTAAGCTTACTGGACGAGGAGTTCTTCGATGGCGAGGGCCCGGCTTGACCGTCAGGGGAGCGAAAGTTACTGGTATGAGCTTAAGAGTATGTTCGTATAGTTATAACATTATAATACTTAGCTCGTATTGGACCAATTAAAGCCCTGATCAGAGTGAGATCAGAGTTAACTCAAGCTGAATTGACTAAAGTTGACTAAGTCACATGGAAGGGAGAAGGCCGAGAAAGACCATGACGAATAATCAAACTCTTTAAGAAACTCTTGATCTTGTGGCATGTTTACCTACCTAACCTAAAGGTAGGTAAACATAGCTAGCTTTATATAAGATAGGTATCGTCAATTAAGTATCCATGGGACTCTGATGTATACGAGAGGACAAGCGCTGAACTTGATGAAATTATCTAGTCAGGGACGCTTGGGGTAGGCTCAGAGGCGGGTCTTAAAACTAAGGGAGTCTTCAGGTTAGAAGAGGGGATAGTTGTGCTTAAGTTCGCTGCTAAAGAGGCGGGTGGTGGGAAGGTTGTTTACTTTGCCTTAAATCAGGAGTATTTCAAGCATGAACTGTAAGTTGGCGATGAGGCAATTGTGCGGGAATCGCTTCTTAGATAAGGAGATTGAATTTAATGGGACGGTATTTCACTCTGATGAGCTGAAACACAACGCATAACACTTCACAAGGCGTAGGAGGGAGTATTGCTTTTGAAGAGTATTCACATATTGGGCACAAAATACTGTTCCCATCAGACTACGGATGGCCGAGGAGAGCTCTAATAAGATATGAATACGAGATTTAGCAATATATTATTGAACGAATACTAGTAGTTTCCAATTTGAGAGGGTACTCGAGGAAGTGCCTAACCCCGTGGTTTAGAATAATAAGTGCGTCTATAGCCAAATGCTCTCACCTGCCCCCTATTCATAAAATTCACTATCTGCTTCCCATCTAGGCAAGGTCTCAAGCATCAGTAAACTTTGCAACATCAGCATATTCTATGCCGCCAACCCATACTTTAGCAATGTCTCTGGTGTTGGAGATATTCACAAGAGGATCGCTGTTTAGTAGGATTAAATCTGCGCGTAGACCAGGTCGAATTGCACCCCTATCGTTCAACTTATGCACCGTTACAGGGACAATCGTCGCAGCCCGTAAAGCCTCTGCGGGTGTCATGCCAATGTCCACCAAGTTCAGCAGCTCCTGGTGGAGCGAGTCTCCAAAGGGAAAGTAGATCTCAGGTATAATGTTGCCGACCGCATCTGTCCCCGCCAGTATAGGAACACCAGCTTCATGTAGGTGTCTTACATTATTCAATACGTTCTCATATGTCGTATTAGCTGAGTTGTTCCCGCGCAGAAACTGCGCTATCTCTGGCTGTATAGTGTACGCGCGACGGAATATCTCCATAGTTGGAGTAGAAGCCAAATTGTATTCCTTCATCGATCTGACAATAAAGGAAAACAGTACACCATCATCGGGAATATGCTGCACGACGTCTATCTGTGATGATACTGCCCGCGTGAAGGCAGAGACACTGGGCGCATGCGCGACGGCCAAGTGACCTAACGAGTGCGTATAGTTGACTATTTCGTTGAACTGATTCTGGGTCGGCCCATCGGGTGCACCCACGACCTTGAAGTAGTCGGAGCCATTGCCGAAAGAATAGTCGACGAGGGACTTGGGGTCTGTGTTAGGATAAAGTAGCTGCTCGGGCACCACCGGGTTGAGCTTGGAGCTCGCACTAGACGGAGTTAGGGCAGACAGCATGGTGGTAAAAAGTGACGCTAGGCCTGGATTTGACCTGAGAGAATTGCAGAGTTCGATATCTGAGCAGGCCATGTTGAATATTGTGGTAACGCCGTATGAAGTCATGTTTTCGAGGCCTTCGACCGTCACCACGTGTGCGTGAGCGTCTATCAAGCCGGGAATTAGAATGCGATTACCACCGTCAATTGTTTTCTCGATGCCATCATCGCAATCGGTAATGTATCCGCCGTCGATGATGATGGTTTGTGGCTTGCCTATGGTATAGCCGTTGAAGACACGCACATTTGTTATTGCTGTTTTCACGAGTGCCGGCACATCTCGCTTGCTGAGAGCCTTCTCTACATCGCGTAGTTGAGGCGTACGAACATGATCATGAAGGCAACCCCTTGAAAAATTAAACAGGGTAAGTAAAACTGAGGTGAGGCGTTTCAATTGCATTGTTCAAGAAACTTTTAAGAAGCCAGACAAGATATCAAATATTGGCAAGAAGTTGAGCCTGGCGCTGTTTATAGCATGTTATATAAATATATTTAAATTAAAAGGAAACAGCTGTAAAGTTACTACTTTATATATACACGACATGGCAATTTTAGTCCGTAAGGAGATTCATTATACGATATACAAATTTTGTAAGAGCAACTCTTCAGTTCGTACACTAAACCTGAAGCGTAGGTGGTTACTGGATAATATAAATCCGAGGTAAGATAGGCCAGGGCCGGCCTGCTCAGAAGAGTCTTGACCTGTCGACCTTATCTGATTGGAATTACTTCATCTTGCGGAGAAGTATGACAGTGAGGACGACTTCATAGCCTCCTTGCTCGAGGTCATACATGGTAGAGTAACATGAATAGGGGCTCTTGAGGTTCTGCAGGGATGCTCGTACACTAGACCTAGAATGGTAAAAGGTAGATCGGTTTGTTGGCAGCGCCACAATGACGAGTCCAACGTTTCAGGGATAATACCTAAAGGGACTGCCGCGCGTAAGATATAATTGTGTCCGAGACATACTGGTGATGTATCTTTCGACGATGATAAGCATAAGTTTCACGAGAAGTAGACGCAAAATCAGCTTGTCGAATCTTATCAACAGTGTCGGCGCCGAATTAGTCTAGCCCAACCCTCGCAGGGCTTCCATCGGTTAGGTACCAGATCTGAAGTCGTTAAGGATACCTTGAAGACTGCACCGGCCTTAAGCGAAAGTCGTTTGCGAACTTTTGATTTCTTTATAGATATCAATAGTTAATATATTATATCTTAGGAAAAAGTTATAACCTATTATTTAACTCCTGCTCACCATGGAGGATGCTCAAAATAACGAGCGCCGGAGTGGTTCCCGACAATTTCACAGAAAGTCCCGTAATAGCTGTGTGCCTTGTCGGAGGCGTCGCGTTAGAGTGAGGCATCCTTCCAATAAACATCCAATTCCCTATCGTCTAACAGCATGTTCAGTGCAACCTGCAGCCACCTATCTGTGCCAATTGTCATAGACGTAACGAATCCTGCTCTTATACTTCACCAAACGCTTATGAATTAGCCCCTATTCCATTTTCGAAGGCACAAGCGAAAGCCTCTGCCTGGAAATCTAATGTCGGTAATAACTCTAAGGACTTTACAGGCTTTGGAAGCACGGAATTTGATTTGAATTCCCAGGCCCTCTATGATAATATGAGCCTATACAGGACGTGGCAACAAATTCTAGACCCATGTGCAACGAGTTCAATGATTCAAGTCATGGAGGAGACGTACCTCCTATCGTTGCTACCGAATATTAAAGGCGGACTTTTTGGTTATGAATTCGATCGCCTAGCAAGCACTTTTGAGTACGTACATCGAACATTCACAGCGCTCTACGAGCTTCACCAATGGTCACAAAATACATCGCGCTCAAATCTATATACTTTCGCATACCAACATCATATCGAAGCATCAGTCTTGTTCAGGCACTCGCAGCCGGAGGTGAATGGGACTAATTGGATGGCTGTTTTGATATTTGGAATCGGAGTCATAGTCTTCCAATTCGCAGCCTTCCTAAAAACACCTGACACGATAGACAATTATCTTGAGCTACTCCATATCTTGCGCGGTTCTTTCCAGTTGGCTATTGAGTTGGCGCCTTTTCTACGAATGAGCTCACTAATGCTCCTCACCCAGCCTCGCTTACACTCACCTAAGTTGCATCTAGATGAACTCGTACTGAATATCTTAGCCTGCCTTGATTCACTCGGCTACCCTGAGGATACTACCGGTGAAATGAAGCGCGCTTGCTTACAGTCGATCATATCCCTAAAAGAATGGATCATTGAGGTCAATGGGTATCCTGGAAACTGGCGTCAGTATATGGATTGGCCAGCCGCTGTCCCGGAGGAGTATCTCTCTGCGATTTCACAAAGACACCCAACGTCCCTTGTCATATTCATTTATTGGTGTTCTATCATGCATCGCTGTCCAAAGAGGTGGTATGCTGGTTGGGCTAGCAGAGCTGCATCAGTAGCTATGAGACACCTAGGGGGGGAGTGGAATCATGTATTAGAAGCACCCCGGAAGCTGTTGGCATTCGAACCTGGGGATTCCAACCCCTATACGCGACCTTAAGGAGGATAGCAGCCAAGGGCGGAATCTCGGAAATTAATCCCGACCCCTAATCCCCATTATTCCCTCATGAGATGACATTCCAACATGATTCACTTACTCAAACCTACGTAGCTTGCTGTTATGGCTACATACTCTAACTAGAATATAAACACAGATTGTAAGAGGTATTTGTTAGGTGATTGGTATTTGCTGGAATCTTCTTATTAGTTTATCTTCATACTCTGTAATGCTCACAGGATAAGACTAGCTATCGCTTTGCGTAGTATCTATATGCGTCAAACACCTTTTACGGAGTTACGGAGTAATTCTAATAAGCTTACACAGTATCAGCACCCTCACAATGCGACACAACCAATAATATTAAATACCTAATCATACCCTCTATGAGGGACTAACCTACAGAGTTAGTCTTGAAATTTTAGCATTATAATACACAGGTAGGAAATCTATACCGGTCAGGCTTTACGCATGCTTCGTATGCCCCTATCTATATCGCCAATGAGTTCTTGTGTAAAACTTCGAACTCGCCTAATATGAAAGGGTGTACGATCTACTTAATTTGGTCCCTTGCTCAGCTCATGCTCTTTGGTGAGGGGCAGAGTGAAGAGTTATGGACTTCACTCAACATTTCCGTAGACGGACGTCTCCATGCAATTCGACCCTTTGCGCTACCATGCTACTCATTTTATAACGGGAATGAAGTCACAATCGATGAGGCGGCTTGTACTCTGATCCGAGAGAAATATGTTACAAATTCAATACGCGCTGAAAGGCCCAGCGGTTATATGAATCTCCAGGGTGAGATCTGTCTAGGGGATCCCATAAACCAGTGTGCGTTAGATAATACAGCAGCTCCGGCAGCCAAACCCGCACCAGGTGCTTCGTGCAATCAAGGCAGTGTTCCTTCATACTATATTGAGGTCGAGAAGATTTCGGATATCATTGCAACTTTAAATTTTACCCAGTATCATGGAGTTCCTTTAGTTATTAAGAATAGCGGGCATGATTACATGACTAGGAACAGCCAGAAAGGATCATTAGCTCTTTGGGTGCACAAGTTGCAAGGCCTTACTATCCATAATAATTTCCTCCCAGAGGGATGTGGAGCAGACTTGAGGGTTGGCCGGGCCATTACCGCGGGCACCGGTGTTAGTACGGGAGATATTTACAATTTCGCATATAAACATGAAAGCACCTTCATTGGTGGTTATTCCCCGTCAGTTGCAGCTTCTGGGGGTTGGGTTCTTGGTGGTGGACACAGCGTATTATCACCAGTGTATGGACTCGGAGCTGATCGTGTCGTCGAATTTAAGATTGTGACGCCTGATGGGGTTGCTCGAACTGCAAATCAATGCCAGCACGAAGACTTGTTTTGGGCTCTGCGAGGTGGCGGTGGAGGGACATTTGGCGTTGTGCTGGAAGCTACTCACCGTGTTGAACCGTTAATACCAGTCGCGGTCGCAAACATCAAACTACCTTCAAATATCACAGCAGAAACGTCGATAAAGTGGATTGAATTGATGGCGCGGGAATCCTTGGCTTGGGGTAAACAAGGATGGGGAGGTCATGCGGGAGGCATATATTTGACTTACATGAATCCTGTACCAGAGATAGCCAACTTAGCCGACGATGGAACTGCTGCTAAGGCCTCTATGAGGAATGTATCAGATTTTGCACTTTCCCACGGGGGTAGTAGTGTGGTAGAGGTTCTACCAAACTTTCTTGATGTGTGGAACAAATACGTCTTACCAGGGGCTCTGACAACAGCTGGGGTCACTCGCGTATTGGCAACGAGGCTCATACCCCAGAGGTTATTCAGTGATGACGCCGGAATTAACAAATTGATGGATTTCATAAAGGCTACGCAGAAGTTGGGGTTTGATCCACGGAACTTTTACAGCCCGGTAGATACACCCTTTGTGATAGACAGCACGACGAAGCTGAAAATGCGAAATGACACAAGGCCAACAACATCTATCCATCCAGCCTGGTACAATTCTCTTTGGGATATTTCGACATCCCTAACGATTTCTTGGAATGCATCATACGCCGACCGCCTGGAAAATATGACTGCTATTACAAGAGGAACGCTTCTTGCGGAGGAGTTAACAGGTACCGATGGAGGGACTTACCCGAACGAAGCGAACCCCTTCACGGCGAGTTGGCAAGAGTCTTGGTGGGGCCATAACTATGAAGCCTTGCTCCAAATTAAAAAGAAGTACGATCCAAGGGGGCTCTTGAAGTGCTGGAAGTGCGTTGGGTTTGAAAACAAGGACATATTGACCGACAGATTCAGATGCCAGGGAAAGTTACAACTGGATGTCGACCGTAATGTAGCAAATATTATGTAATAATTATACTCTAAGGAAGTTCGAAGTGAAAGTGTCAGGGGACAGTATAAATTGGGTACAGATCTACGTAGAATAGATATATAAGGGGCGCTGCGCGCCCTCGAAAGAGTATAGAAGGTCAAGCGTTAATATATTTATATTACCATGCGGCTACTATACAGCAGCGAAGCTGCTGCTTCTACCATTCACTCTACGTATGACATCAATTAAGGGGTATCTCTAACAAAAAGATACCCTTTAAATTGAATGATAAGTCCCTTATGGAATCAGAACATTCCTTTCACGTATATTTAATCCGTACCTCCCCTAGGATAAAATATGTTCAATCTCACATATAGAGTAGTATGATCTACAATACTAGTGCTTACCGGTGATGAACTAAATAGCCTATATCAAGATATGATCTAAAGTCTAATGGTATCTTCTAGAACACTCTAATAAATGAACGGCAAAGACAAAGGCCGTAGTAACTAGCGATAGCTTCATACCTCGCGTCTTTAGGGCAAAATACTTTGGTTGGGGATAAATCAAAGCACCCTTACGAGGGCCACCCTAGTAGGGGCTATTTTAAATTTTTAAACCTTTAAAATAAATACTTTAATTTTAATTTAACGTTATTTAATTAAATTAAATTTAATTAATTTATAATTTATTATATTTTAATAATAATATAGTTTTTTACTATTAATTTAATTAATAAAGTTTTATTTTCCAAATTAATATTAGAATTATTAATTATAACTATATTATTTAATTTCTGGGTTTTTAACTATTTTTTTTTTATAATAATTTTAATATTTATAAATATTGAATTTGGGTTAGGTAATATTTTACGCCGTTTTTACAGTTTTATATTTATTAATATCTTTTTTAAATATTTAGCGTAGGTTTTTATTATAATTAATTTCATAATAGTTTTATTAAAGGTTTTATTAATTTTATTAAATAAAAGTTTTATTATAAATTTAATAAACGTTATATTAATTTTAAATAGTTCTTTGGTTAAAATATTAATATTTTATAAATTTAAAGGCGTTATTAAAAGGATTAGGGCTATATTTTCGATAAAATTAAGCTTTTTTAGGTTAGAAATAAGGTTTAAAAAAATTAGGGTAATACCGGGAACTTCCCGGAATATAAGCTGGTAATTCAACAGTTTATTTTAATCCCTAAAATAAATCTCTATAACCTTCTAACCAACTAATATATTATATTTGGTTAAACGTTTTTTTATGCTATTTAATAAACTATAATAAATTTTTTTTTATTAAAATTAAAAATATAATATAATTGGTATATTTTAATAAATTTACAATAATAGTTTTATTTTATTAATAAGAATATACCCACGTTAATAACCTATAAAACGTGTAATAAGTATACCAAAATAAAAATAACATAAACCTTATTTATAAAATATTCCTAAAAGAATTTTATTATAATATGGTTATTATAGCCGTTAAAGATTAATAATTACTATTATTAACAATTTAATGATTTTATTTTTTTTAAAAAGACTTTATAAAATCATTTAAATATAATATTATTATTAATCCAATTATTAAAAAACGTAATAAACTTTTAACCCTTAAATCTAACGTTTTTATTATTAAGAAACTATTATTATTATATATATTTATTTATATATATAATAAAAAGATTTAGAAATTAACCGTTACTATTAATATATTTAATAATTAATATCTAGATTTTATTACTACAATTTTTAATTACAATATACTTTTTATAAATTTTGCTAATAACTATTTTATTATTCCTAACCCCTTCCATAATCCCCATTTTATTAACGTTATATATATGTTTAATTAAAATATTCTTAATCTTAAAAATTTTAAATTGGTTAAAAAAGATATTAATATTATTAACTATAATTTTATTAACTTATTTATAATCGATTAAATAAACCTTAACCAATTTAATATTAAAATAATAAAATAAAAATTATATATATTAGTATTTACCGAAAATATCGAATTGGTAATTATAAATTAATAATTTTTTTATAATATTTTTAAATCAATATAAGAAAAACATATAACTAATATAATTTAACATAATAGCCTAATTAACTAATTCCTTTTTTTAATATTTCAATAATTTTTAACGTTTTTTTAAATAGTTATTTTATATTTTACGGCTTAATATTCGGTTTGTAAAATAATATTATAATATAAGGTATTTTTTAAACGCCTACCGCAAAAATATACTATTAAAAACGTTGTTTATTACCATAACGCAACGCAATTAAACTAAAAGAATAAGCATTTTAAAATCGTAAAAAAATAAAGATTTAAATAATAAATTTTATTTTTTAATTAATTAAAAACTAATAAAATTATATAATAATTCGTATATAAACCTTATTGCAAACGTATTGCGTTTTTGAGGTGGCCTCCACTAGGGTAGCCCCCGTAAGGGTGCTTTAACTTAATCTCCGAATTAAGAAGAATAGAATATAGGTTTACCTTTTTGTTAGAATAACACCGTAGATAGACCGGTCATCATAAGCTTTCATACTCACTAAGCCTTGGATAGCTGTTTCAAACACTCGTACAATGTCTGGTTGCTAAGACTTGTTCGAAAAACAGCCTACTTATTAGCTAGACTGTAAGATGAATACCAAAAGAGTCCAATAGGCCCATATGCAAGCTACTGCATAAAAGAAAAGAGGCGTGTTATAAATAATACAAACTAATTAAAAAAGTATTAAGCCTCGGCCTAGGTGTATAAGTAAATAATATTGGCTTTCTTGTCCTTAAGTCTAAAGATATATGAGGATAAAGTCATCTTCATGTATAAATCTCTTCGCATCAAACCCCAGGCTGTCTGAGTCGACGTGCCTGAGGATATATTGAGATCATCAGTAATGTAATTCGAGGCAACTTCCGGTTCGGCAGTAGTTACAGTGAGCCTTGCCATCTGGAGCACAGGCTGTACAACCGTAAGCACAGGTGCTTTTGGCCATTGTGATTTGTTGTTGTCGTCGGGAGTAAGATTTCAGTACGAAACAAGGAAAGGTTGGGACCGATATGGAGGCGGCGTCGGATACTAGGTATTTCTTAAAGAATGAGATATTGCGTACCTACCTACCTCAGGTATGAAGTTAGTTTAGATGGTATTAATATAGATAACTGTACTGGATAGATACTGAAACTTCGAGTTGGAAATATGGATTTCGACGTTTAATTCATATACTTCCAAAATACAACCCAAAACATAACACCCATGGACAAGATCGATTCTGTTAAACAATGACAATTGCATTCAACAATACGTGTTAAAAATTAAAAGGCTTATTTCTAAACTACCGTATTCAAACGCTTTTATCAATACAATAAATCCCAACTTCATTATCTACAACTACATATTTACATTTGCTTTTGAGAAAATCTATCTTCAATATAATGTTCTCAGCTATCTCCTTGTTTAGTATCAGTCTCATCGCTAGCTCTTCCGCTCATCCCCTCGAAGAGCGCGCCATCTAAGTTGCACATCTCCGTTTCATGGCGGTCTAGTATCGTATAACATTGGAGTACCTGTCGACAGCATCGTATTTAATACCAGCATGTCATTCAAAAAACTAGCAATTGACACTGAATAATGGATGATCATTATCAACCTGGCGTTCTTGGACCTAGACAGCAACATTTCTGTCGGCATAATTGATTCACCGGGCCATAATGCTATAAACCAATGTACTTCCAAACAATGTATCTAAATAAAAAGACCTTGGTTAGCAGTATTGACACCTATGTTACCATTGGCGGCCAGGGCTCATATATGGAGGGTGTTACTCCAATGGCTAGTACACCGGGCCTTGGTGTGATTAACAAATTCCGCTTAAATATACAAAATGTACCTAGGTACCTAGGTACTTTGCTTCGTGGATGGATTGGTGCTAGTTTTAGTGGGGTTGATATTTTTGTTGGTAAAAGTTTTAGGTTAGAGGGGTATGACGTATTATATGCTACCATAAAGTAAAAGATGGATACATGTACGTAGGATAGTGGGGTTTATGTATGTACTTCCATAACTTCCATATTAGTGAATTGTGGCTAAATACAAGTACGATGGAAGTACCTAGGTACAGCCCGAATACAGAGGTACATACTTCACTTATACATGGTTAACAGATTAAGAGTCAAAATAATTAGGCAAAACCTTAGGTACCTTAGAGGAAGTATACACGTGTGCAGTTGGAGCCGGAGAGTTGTCAGTCTTTATACCATCTAATAGGTACCTCTCATACTTGACAGAAGCAAAAAATGATATGTTACTTTTTACATATATCAGCCGTTAAAATTGATTGGTACTTTAGTAACATTGGAAAGTTGCATTCAGTCTACCACTTGTCAAACATTAATTCGTGTAGTCCACGTAGTCCAAGTTCTAACCTGCCAACCTCCTCTCCATCAGTATTATCAGACTTCTATTATCCGTCCTTAAACACCAGAGTACTATCAAAATCCGACTCAAATAGACTTTCAAAACCCGTGTTGTGCATTCGAGATCACTATTGATCTAAGGGGTAGGAGCCAGCAGAAAGTATGCACAATAGCTTTGGCAAGTAGCATACGCTGGAGGGCCGAGGGCGGGGATCCAGAGAGTTGCACCTGCACACACGGATTGGCAACCTGCATACGTCAACAGACCTGCCGCAGCGCAAGTTGAGATGGCCATTATGACCATGGAAACCTTTGCTTGATGCATGTTGATAGTGTTGATAGAAGATATACTAAAAATCGAATTTCAATGGAATAGGTAGCTTGTAGGTGGTCTGGCGATGTGAAGGGCAGAGTCTCGTGTTCGCGAGTTGCGTGAAGTCGATTTATTTTGCGACCTGGATTGTATTTCTTTAAAGTGGTCTTTGGTATTTCTTAAGTCGAGCGTGGAGGAAGAAAATGCAATAGATATATGTAAATTGTTTAAGCGTGGTGTTGGGGTCCGGTGTGTTTGGAGTAGGTAGGTAAGTAGAAGAGGAAATAAGAGAGAGAAAGAAGTGTAGAGAAAGGTAGGTTTAAATGGATGTTTCCAGATACAAACGAGTACCTACCCGTTACCTCTTATTGGGTCTCCAAATGCCATATTCCACTGACCTTATCGGAAGCGACCTATAACGTGGCGGCTACATTGTTACGGAAGTTCGAAGATGGTTATTTGAATGCGACCAGTGACAATCTGATTGGTCGATATCAAGAGGTGGGGGCCGAAATTAAGGTAGAACCACGAAAAAAACAAAGAGACATAAATCCACCAACTTATTAATTCTTCTTTTTTCGGTTATAAAAGTCAAGTTACGTGGTTGGATCAAAACAACCGTGAGAAACTTGAATGGAGTCCCTTCTTGAAAACTGGTATAAGTTCTTGAAGTTACGCGCTGCCTCTAACTGTCCTACTTATTTCGTCTTTAAACTTCGTGAAATAAAGCTCTCGGGGGGGGGGGGGGGGGGCGGCGGGGCGGGGGGGGGGGGGGGGGGTTGGGGGTGGGTGGGGGTTGGTGGGG